CAGAACTCCATCACCATTGAACAATAGTCCTTCAAATATTCATTTCTTTGTGCAGCAACAACTAATTCTGTTGGATTACATCTGTATTGCTGAGTAAGGCCACACTAAGAGTAGGAAATGCGAGGACTTATACATTCACATGGATTACATGGTTATGCTAACACTTACTGTTACCTGAAGCCGATGAAGTGAATTTCTGTTGGCCAACGGTGCTATAAACATGTGAGCTGATGCTTAAATAAACGTTTATCCGATGAAACAAGGAACTATATGGCCAGGTTAATCATCTAGGTCACATGACACGCAAACGTCGAATATTGTATGACTTTGGTATCACTTTATTGTCAAAAAAGAGTGGTGAGTGGAGACAACCGAGACTCATGAACAATCCTTATGTACTGTGAAGTGGTATTTTTCTGTTCCTTTTATAACCTGCGGTCACTCTTGATATCACGATAAACATTGATGCGATACCCTCTGTACCATTCTGGAGGGCCTAACTAATGAAGATTTCTCCGCCATTATCAGTTTGATGACGCCTGTAAACTGGCCTCTCTCATGTTAAACTCTTAAGTTGAGAATAAAATATTTATTTATTTATTTAACTGGTTTACATCAGCTTGTAAAAAGGTATTGGGTGTCGGATGCTCAGCACCAATGAATGCAGCAGGGTTACCTGGAGTAAAGGTAACTCCCGCTTTGGTCCTCATAAATCTATGAAAGCCTCGCGTAGGGGAATCACCAGGGTACGATGACGTCTGGCCGGCTCTGTTGAAACAATGCACGGGTGCATGTTCGGTCCGCTGAGTAATCTGTTTCAACACTCTTTAGGCAATTACAAGCTTCCACGAGAGTGGAAAAGTGCTATTCTGACCCCCATCTTCAAAGGAGGAGACAGGCAGAACCCACAATACTACTCACCCATAGCCCTTCTACCAGTGGTGTCGAGAGTAATTGAGGGCTTGGTAGACGACTATGTCAGGGAGTGCTTAGAAAAGAGACGAGCACTGAGTGGTGCTCAACACGGTTTCAGAAAGGGTAGGTCCTGCGCCTCGAACATTTTGGCGGCAGGCGATAGGTGGACGGCATGTTGGGACCCCCAAATTCTTGTCCATGTTATTTCCCTGGATTTTGCTAGGGCCTTCTATACAGTCCTGCAGACCATTCTTATTCACAAGATGGCAAGGTTGGGCACCAAGGGACAAGTGCCTACATGGTTACGGGACTATCTAGACGGCAGACAATTCTGCACAAAGGCCAACAGAGTTTGCTCTACTTGGAGGACACTATTGTCTGGTGTATCATAAGGGGCGATTCTTAGCCCACTGCTATTCCTTCTTTTTGTGAACGACCTCCCACCGAATTCCAACCCCCCAATTCTATTTCACGTTGATGATGTTGAGTTTTGGAGAGCATTGACGTCGGAAACAGAATCAAGTGCACTGCAAAGTGACCTCAGATTACTCGCAGGGTGGGTGGGTATTAATGGACTTGCATTTAACCTAGATAAGTGCCGATCCATGTTTCTCCGCACCCCAGACTCTCAGAAGGTACCCCATTTTCTCTATGGAACACAACTTTCCCACACTATCACGGAGAAAGACCTAGGACTAATATCAACTGACAAACTAGACACCAGCTCCAATTACCCAGGAGATGCCCCCAGACCCTCCAGACCCCGGGACTCGTTTACAAGCTGTATAAGACCTATACACGACTCTGCCTAGAGGTCCACAACGTCACTGCACCACCATATCTGGAAAAGGACATGAACCTCCTGGAGAAAGTCCAAAGGCGAGCTACAAAAGGTGTCGTGGGAATGAGGCGAAAACTATATCAGGACAGGCTGGAAGATCTAGGACTCTACTCCCTAAGCTACCGTAGATTAGGTGGTGACTTGATTAACGGCTTACAAAATACCAAGTAACCCAAGCCATCAGAACAGTGAGATCCTACCGAACAGCCACTATGGCGACCCTGATGATAACTCAAGGAGAATTGCACACCAAAGAGCGAAAACCTGTGTGCGATCACATTCCTTCTCTGCTAGTTTGCAGCCGCTGAAATACATTGCCTACCGAGTTTGCTACCGCTCCGTCTGTTGACAGCTTCAAGAAGAGGTTGGACAGTTACGCAGCGACATACGGCTTGCGCTCATCCAATTGGGATATGGACTAGGCCGACAGGACCTACTAACTTGGTAAGACCAACCGTTGCTGAATATTTTGTAAAGCCACTATCAGTGGGAACTTGGCTCTATCTTATACCTCCCTACAGACGTCCCCTCCAGTTACCGTCTCCTACTAGAAGAACTACTATATTCGCATTCGTCTTATCATGTTACTTATTCTTCTTTCTTCTGACTTTACGTTCTCAAGAGCTCTCCTCACCGCCCCCTTCCCCATAAATCTACTAATGTTTCTTCTCCTTTGCTGTTTCCTTTTACCTTGCCACCTTTTCCCTCCCCTTTTTATCTTTGTTTTTCTTCGCACCTTTTCGCCCATGATTTCTCTGCACATATTTCTCACCTCCTTTTTACAACCAGTCTGACCGATTGTCTGCTGGCATGACACTTGAGGAGCTCATCCGCACCACAGTCCTTGGCAGGAAAACAAACATACAACACTCCCTGTAAATTTAACCAACACCCAACTGCCCTCGGGCTAACCAGAGCTACAGCAGTCTAGTGGGTAGACCTACTGCATCGGAATCGGCCAAAGATCTGGAGCCGTTCCTCAAGACCAAGAAGCCAGCGCGAAGAAATCAACTGGTTTACACAAGCTCGTTAAAAGAGATATTGGATATTGGAAGTTGGAATAACTGAGGTCATTTAGAATAGTTCCGCCACACACAGGTTATGACTTTTTAGTGTTCGTTTGTGATTTATTCAGTTCAGGCGTAGTAACTAAGCCTCAGACTTGTGAGGAAACGTTCTTCAACCCACCTGGTCATTTAATTTTGCTTATATTACAATCCTAATCCGGTAAAATACCATTTGAGCAACCCCCAGTCCCAGTCCTATTCTTAGTTAATACATAGGACGAGTGCTAACAGTACAGTATTTGCCACCATTCTTACTCCGCTATGCATGTACCTCACTCCTTCAACCGTTTACACTTTACATTTGCTGCCTCCTGTTCCGTATAGGGTTCCTATAAGGATATGTGATCATGGGTTGGTTGGCCATAGCTTCATACATTTTACCTGTTTGCAGCTTATCACTGTTTTTATTCTTCTGATGACTGTGTCATTCCATCCTGAATTTTACACAAACCCTTCTAGATACCTGGGAGACTAAATGCCATTGGCCTGTGGATGAGGTTCATATGCGAGTCTCAGGCAGTTGAATATATGCATATATATATATATATATATATATATATATATATATATATATCGACGACAAAAAGTTTTTTTTGAGAAATACTCACCGTGGTACGTAAGTCTTCGTTTTGTACGTGGTTTTATTAATTTAGGATGGGTGGTCTTCAAAGTTTGTCACCCTTGATTTTCCCTCATCTGCTTTATTCGTCTATGTAATGGTTAAGAAACAGTATGCAACTACTATTTTTGTAAAATTTCTTCCCTTTCGTCTTCCTTAATGTTTGTGGAAATGAAAAGTAGATGCCTTTACAGTGATCATGTAAAAACCAAACAAATTTCGGTCTCTGTTACTCATCATAGATCCTATTGAAGTGATGTGTAACTGTGTTGACCTTCTACTATCACTATGACTCATGTTCTCTATCCTCTTCTCAACTATTCATCCATGATTGTTTTCTCATGTATACTGGATCGAAAACACCACATGACATTTTCCATGAAAGCAAGTATTTAGTCCGACATTTCGAAATAAAGGTGGTAATATTAAGACACCAGGTATGCATTTTTAACTCAAAAACTTACCCACAAATTCGAAATCACGTAACCTATTTTCAACATCGGTAAAGGAGACTGAACCACATACGGAGAACACATGACCACCACCGATCTTCGTTGTTCGAATTCTAACAGGAATGTTTCTGAATCTCGGTGTTAACTTCACGAAACACTTCATTGCTGACTTCACATGATCTGCGATATAAATGACTTAGATGACTTGGTACTTGCTGTGGAGACATTTTTAGTAGTTGCAAATGACGCTACATTCAGCACCATCCCACGCATAGTGATAGGATTTAAGCATCTGAGATTTTTTACGGAATTGTGTACGAATTACAACGTCACACCACTTCTGATTACTCGTTTGCTGGGGCTGTTATGCAATACTTTTGAAATGGCCTAACTGCAACATACCTAGGTACTTTTCGTACATTGCTATAATCCAGCTTGTCGAACTGAAATTGTGAATTTTTCATTGCATGAGACGAATATTTGTTTCAGCAAACTCATTATAATTCTATGGAATACTCGTAAAGCGTAAAAGTTAAAACCTTTCCAGGATAGCACATCTGTGGGATGCAGGGTATTATCTGTATTCTTGTCGATTACACCCTATCTTGATCTAAACTATAATACTACCTCTCCTTATGCTCATTAACTCTGGGTGCAGCTTTAGGTGAATTTTGACTATGAAGTCGCTATTTCATCTTGTTTTCTTGTATTATGATGTGCAGATGTTGACATGTAGCGAATTTTACCGTTGCCTAGTAATACTTTGCTGTATTCTGATATCTACTTGTGTTTTTGAAACCCACTGAACGTGCAAAGTTTTGGGCACTCACACACTGAATGTGACAGCTGGCTTGTTACAGCATTCACTTTTTTCACTGTTTACTCCATATGATAAGATTAGACAACAACACAACTAAGCTGTTTCCTCAACAGTCGGGTAGTGTCGAAAGACATACTTTTTTGCTTTACATTTCTTAGTATAGCATATTTTGCGTTAGAGATGTATTTATGATATCCGTTCGATTTCTAAAATAGATATTGTCTAAAGTATGGTCGACATCAGTTTATTTCACTAATCTTCATCATTGGGGTTTTCGGACTACTATATGCGTTGGAATAACTTCCCCCAGAGTTAGATTAACTCATGCAATCTTCAATACTGGGAACTTTAGGAAACGTTTCATGGAAAATATCCAGTCAGCTTTGTTTCCCAATTCGCAAGTGTTCTACAAAGCCTCTTTTGTTTTTAACTGAAAAATCTGTACAGGTAAGTAAAGATGTAAATGTGTGTTTTCCCGACATTGTGTTATTAGAAGCTAAAAGAAATGGAAGCCAAAGGAGCATCTATGCGAATCGTAGTCGACAGCGGGGGATGTTCAGGATTTCAGTATAAATTTGAGCTGGTAGATAGAATCCAAGAGACTGATAAGTATGTTTTTGAATAGTTGTAAAAAGAAGACTAAAAGAATTATTAAACAGGATGGGGCATCTGTGACTATTGATGACGTTTCCCTCGACTTGATCAAAGGCTCAACAGTCGACTATGAAGATGAGTTAATTCGATCCGGTTTCTGTATTATCCACAATCCACAAGTTGATAAGAGCTGTTCTTGTGGTGTTTCATTCAGCCTTAAACTGGATTAAGTGTAGCTAGCGTAATGAAGCTATCCTTACGGTCAAGTATTTTTTCTGTTCAGCACATGTAAACTTTATTTTAAATAAAGCATTCTTTTGCAATAATAGGTGTTTTCCTTTCTATGAATTACTTATTTGTTTGAAGATTGTTTTCTGATAAGGTAAACAGTTTTTACACAGAGTATTTACATGAAAATTCCGTCTTTTTGTGTTGTAAATTATACTTATTATTGAATCTAGTGCTTTTTACTGCCTGAAGATTATGAATTCACCTGCACATGATGAGTTAATAATGAGGGAGAACACTGGAAATGAAGAGTCTGGTGATTCCACAAATGTGATTGCATCGGATGGATGGCTTACTTTAACTGAAGCTTTTGAATGTACGAATTCAGTGTCCTTAAAATTCCTGTCTTGTAAATCGTTTGACGACACCAAAGAGGAAATCGGTCACACGGATTCTATTCATCTCTTAGATGTAAATAGTGATTCGCCGAATGACCCAGACACATCAGTGTCGAAACAATATGTAACTGAACAAGTGTCCATTGAAAATTCCCATCAAACTAACAGTTCTTCTCAAGTTAATTTGGAACCAGCAAACGAGATACCTTTGCAATTAAAAGAAGATCAATGTATTTCAGAAAAAGAACTTGATAGTTCCAAAATAGATGACTGTACTACTGTACCAACTAGTGAATTGGAGTACCCAGAGGTTCTTGAATATCGGAATGTGGACTGGATTTACCCCTCTCCAAAAGTGATTGCTTGTGCCGATGCTGAATTTCGTTTATCCGCAAAATCACCTTCAGATAATTATCTCCGAGGTTGTTTATGGTAAGTTTGGGTTTTCTAGAACTTTAAATATTGATAAAATTCAATGTTGAACCAATTAAGAATGAACATTGAATTATTGTCTTCCAAATTCGTCAGTGTTTAAAGGCACTTTTCAATATACGTTTTGTTTGAGACTAGTTGGGCCTCCTCCGTATTAGCTGGGTCTATGATTAAGGTGTATGGGACTAAACTGATTGAGGTTTTTGTGAAGTTGTTTATTGTAGGTAATTAGCATTAACACTCTGTTGATCATTCGAGCATTATATGTATTATTAATCCACCAAATAGACATTCCATTTTAATGATGAATATGCAATTTGTCCAGAATAAGACTTAAGGAAAGCTATGGCATATTTACTTTCTACAAAAAGATTTCTAGGAAAAAAGTCGAACCTTTCAGCATAGAACCCACTGAATTCTGATAACTGGCTGCGTTGTTTATTGTCCTACTTCTTCTCTCGAGAATTAAGGACAATTCATTATTTTAAACACCTAAATACTTCAAACTTGTGTTCGTATCGTTAAAAGTCAAAAGCCTAAGGTCATGTTATGTATATTCGTAAACCTTCTGCAGTGAGTATGTTAATTTTAAAGCTCTTATCATAGCATACTTTTGTAAACTTTGATTTCAGATTGGTGAATTGGAATTTGTGGCTAATGATAAATACTAGTTGTTATGATCCATCCTTGTCATCAAAAATTAAATTCATCATATTTGACCCTTGATGGCTTCTTTTTGTTCCTTGATTGGTCTACGCGTATGCGTTACCAGTGGGACCTAGGAGTGAAATGAGATGGGTGTACAGCAACTTTTAATTTTAGATGGTTGCTGCCCGATTTCAACAGTGAATTTATCCTTGATACTTTAATTGTTTTACTGCAATGATTTAACATTTAGTTATTATGGATCACCAACTATCCAGTGTTATTGGGAACTCTACTTTTCATCAGAAAACCAATACATGAATTTTATCATATCGTTCACGTCTAGGTCACCAGATGGGTCTTGTATTTTGACTAACAGTCATGATAATGTTCTCCGTCTTTTCAATCTGCCTTCATCGGTTTTATCAAATGATGACGCAGAACCTTCGTCTTCTGAACCCGAAGAAATGGTATGTCTTTTTATGCAGTAAATTTGGTCCTTTATGACTGTAATTCTATTTTATCGCACGAATTATTTCATATTCAACATATGAAAACTGAGTCGGTGATGGTTTCCATTAGGATTACATATTACATATGATCAGTGTTTTCGTATTTTCCCCATCGGTATTTTAGTATCAGTTCTTTTCTATCCGCTCATCCTCTGTATACTGCTATGAATTGTGATAACTTGAGCCGATGCACTTTTGTCTTATGTTCTATGTAGATTTCGTCTCTCTGTCTGTTTGTTTATCGAAATTATTTGGTAGAAACTCAGGTTTTCCTTTGTACTTTTTTCCACTTCACGTGCACCATTTTTAATGATGCTAACTTCTCATTTGTTATCCTCTTAGCTTTTATGTGTTAAGTTTTCTGCCTTAAAGGCCTTTATATTTTACACAAATCGACAAGCTATACCCCCTACAAACATACTCTTTCCTATTAAGTTAAACTTCTTCAGTCCACTGTTATCTTTCTCGTGTTTGCCGATCGAGTTGTTGGCAGTCATATTTCGTTCGTCTGTACAACCAAATCAAACAGCTAGAATCTGGTATAATCATGAGTCGTAACTGGTTGCTAGATAGGGCCTTTGGAGTCCTCAAGAAATCCGAAATCAACAGTTATTCCATCGGCATAGCTTTAAAGTTCTCTGATTGCATAAAATCCTCCGGAAAAGCCTGTTTGATCAATTGGCGGACCAAAAGAATATGGGAAGTGACGGGAGTGATGAGGGAAACTAAGTCATTTGATAAGTCTGGTTATCGACGAAGCGATGTTCGTCGAAATTGTTACTCCATGTGATTCACAGAAAACCATTTGCTTGTGCTTCCAACCTCACTGTTAAGTAAGCTTTACTGCATAGTGCTTGTAGTAATTGGATTGGATTCTGTATTTTTTTAATGGCTTATCTTTGTTGATTTTAAAATTCAAAACTGCTCTTTATATGAGGTGAAAAGTAGAAATACTAGCAGGAAAGTTGTCTTTATATCATGATCACCTAACCATCAATCTGCGATTCATCTAAGTTCTCAAACACTATTCCTCTCTTGACCTTCAGTAAAATGAAGACCATCCCTGTTTTTTTTTATTCGTTGTCTTTTTGTTTACCATCACGTTATATATCTTTGTATATATCATCCCAATATTGACAAATTTAGAGAGAAAAATTGATTTCCTTACATTCCTTGAATCTCACTCAGTTTTGAAAAGGTACTTACCGCTAGCTTGGCTTGATTTTGCGTTGTAAAAATGCATTTCATAATTGTAGAACCTTATGAGAATTTACTGAAAAGAATATTCTTAGTTCAGGTTATCGCTTTTTAGTTTATTCTACTCATTGTGGTGGTATGGTTACCTTGTCAAACTCCCGAAGGAGGGCGACCTAAGTCTTTCCAAGAACTGGCGAGGAATCACGCTTCTATCCACCCTAAGCAAAATATTAAGGCTCATCGTCCTGGAGAGACTAAAGGATGCGCTGGATTCAAAACTACGACCGGAACCGGCTGGCTGGCTGGATTCAGGAAGTACAAATCATGTGCGGACCAAATCGCAACGCTACGTATCATCATCGAATAGAGTATAGAATGGCGTCATCCCTCTACCCCAACTTCATCGACTTTGAAAAGGCCTTCAACAGGGTTGACCGAGAAGTAATTTGGCAGTTGCTACAACACTACGGAATACCACAAACCTTTATCAACCTCATTCAACAACTATATGAAGACTCCACAGCCAAGTAATTCACAATAGGAAGCTCAGTGATGCTTTTGAAGTGAAGACAGGAGTGAAACAAGGCTGCCTGTCATTACCCATGATATTCCTGATTGTGGTTGACTGAATCATGCAAGAAACAGTGAGGAGCGAGAAGAGGGTGATACGCTGGACCGGGAAAAAGATCCTAGAAGATTTAGATTTCGCCGATGACTCATGTCTAAAGTCACACAAACCTGAAGATCTACAGGCGAGAACTGACAAATTGACAGAAGAGGCAGGGCAGCGAAGACGAGACTTCCTTCAGCTGAACGTAGAGAAGACAGAGGTGATGAAGATACCCAACCAACAACAACAGCAATAATAAGTTCCAACCACCATCAACGGGAGAAACTTAAAGGACGTAGCCTCTTTCACCTATCTGGGCAAGGCAGCATCGTCTCAACTACAGGCGGCGGCACAGACGAGGACGTCAAGGCCAGGATCGGGAAGACAGCAAGACAGGCATTCCTGCATTAATCTAAAATCAGCGTGGAGGTCAGCTGCACTCAGCACGAGGAGCAAGATCCGGATTTTCAGCACCAATGTCAAATCAGTGCTTCTATATGGCTCAGAGACTTGGCGCGTTACGAAAGGGATTTCCAACAAACTACAGACATTCATCAACAACTGCCTACGCTCGATACTGAAGATCAGATGGATTACCAGAAAGAATAAGCAACAAGGAACTCTGGCTAGTGACGAACCAACCAGGAACCTATCGCTGAACAAATATGCAGAAGGAAATGGAAATGAATTGGGCATACACTGAGAAGGCCGATTGGGGACATCACGCGTCAGGCCAGTTGCTCGAGTGGAACCCCTATGGGAAGCGACGAGTTGGGCGTCCGAGGTGAGGGTGACATGGAGGAGGTCGTGCGAGGAGGAAATGAGAGCTTGTGGGCTGTCGTGGAGCCAGGTTCAGAAGATTTTAGAGAACAGAGTGCACTGGAGACGTGCTACTGAAGTCCTATGTTCCATTAGGAATCCAAGGCACAAATAACAATCATATAATAATTGTGGTGGTATAAGAATGAAATCTAAGTCCCAGTCACCCAAGTCGTTTGACAACAATAATGCCAGTAGTAGGTTGTTAAGTACGCATTTAATGGGGCTGTAACTTTTTGATAATACATTTGCATTGGGTTCGAATCCCACTTGACGGACGTCAACACGGGAAACTGGGTAGTATCAATTTAGGTGTCTAGTGGTGTAGTAAATAAATCATTTACGGGTCATTGAGTTGCTTCAAATCTTAGTCACCCGGGTATTATCAACACATGATCTGGCATTACTGCCTACCGCCCCGAGTTACCGTATTTCACATCAGCCCATCAGTGGAGAAGGGATCAAGGCGATAGAGAAATAAGAAAGGGGGTCACCATCAGTATTAGAGATTCGTAATCAGATAAGAAAAAGGAAAATTGGAGATGAAATAACACCAAACATGGCATAAGCTACAGTTAGTTAAGGATGAAAAAAGGCAAATTCAATATGATCACTCCCAGCTTCAACCAGTAAAACAACAGCAAATACAAAAGTTAAGCAATGAGAATCAAGTAAGAAGTAGGGTTCCACAACACCAGCTACTCTTAAGCGATTCAGTTTATAACATTGAGAAAATGCAACAACTATTCAGTATACTTGTGATGCTGTGGAACGATAGTTTAGCAAAATGTTGTATAAGGGTGCTTAGTGGTTACGTGGTTCAGATGCAATAAAGTAGTACGGATGGATTCATCTTGTCTAATTGTACACGGTGAATTCAAATCATTCTAGTTGTATTTCAGAAATGCGGTAGTCTATTGTTGTACTGAGTTCATACTGATATAATCAGTCAATCAGTTAGTTGTTGTCGTTGTTGTTATTTTTAGAAATCTGTTCTTTCCATGCATGAAAAAGAACTTATTTACGACTATTGTTGGTATCCGCTGATGTGCTCTGCTGATCCACTTACTTGTTGGTAAGTAATTATTATTGTTGTTGATTACCTAAGGTTCATATTAATTTTTTATAAGTGGGATTTTTATGTTCTCTATTACGAAAGTTGTACACTGAGTATGAAAGCTGTACAAAGGCTTTCTCTATTTAGTCCCTTGATTGTTATATCAGTGTTGATCCAGATTCCGTTGATTCGTAATCGGTAACGATTTATTTTTTCTCTCATTATCTTCTCTACAGATAATTGCCCCTGACAAAGGGGATTATATTAAGTTAGATGGTCCAATTACTAGTTAATATTTATCAGTTGAATTCTGATCAATGCCTGTGCCTTCTTTTAAGAATTACAAGCGTCATTTTCAGTTGGATAATAATAATAATAATAATAATAATAATAATAATGATAATAATGGTAATTTTAATGGAGTAATTACGTACAGATTCTTGTATTATCCTTAAAGTCACACTTCTTGTGTGATGATTAGGGACATTGTTGTGCTGATCGAACTTCGGTGAGTTGGGTAGGGTGTGATCATGTAACTTGCTGGTTTAAAGTTACCTGCCTAAATACTATACCATAGATTTTCCGATTTGTAATCATCTTATAAATATCATTTGAAAAAAGATAAAGAACACAATCATGAAAGTAGCGATACCATGATTTACTTGGTGTCTAGTGGTAGGATCCAGAAGGCGTGTTTTGTCCTGTCTGAGACCTATCAGCTGAATGAACTTGCACCCAAGTGAGTGATGGTGTTTCCGTGACATAGTGAGTATTCAAGAAGTTCTGAGTCGTCCTCATAGGAACCCATTTACCAACAGATGTCGAACGACTGAATTCGGCGTAATAACGAGAGATCACAAGCATCAATAGATAACAACTGATACCCATTGCACAATAGGTGGATGTCGGGCCTCAGTGGCCTAGCTCATAACGCTTTAGTGTCTGAAGCGACGTGTACTGGCTTCGGGTCCTCGTGGGAACACCTTTTCTCACTGGGGTGCAGGTGCATCCGGATCGATTTTACTGGTCTTGTTTCATTCCTTCACGTTTTTGTTAAAGTCATGCATACAATAGAAAAATGGCTTGTGGATAATTGAAAAATGTTATTAAGTATGCTTTTAATCATCAATACTGTTGTAAGTCACTCTCAATAAAAGATGGAGTTAGATTATGCTTTTGTTAGGTAGCACAACGTTTACGTCTCGGATCCTTGAAGAAGACAAGGGAAGTGTTTAAAAGCACTCGCAAACACCTATTGTTGTTTTAGGTTTAAAAAAATTATTCAACATCTTACCCTTGTATTCTTATCTAATTTCATTGGACAACTCCATGACTTTTATATTTTTTAATACTTATGAATCTAGGTGTTATTTGCAACTATTTCAATCGACTTTGGGTTGTGTACGTTAGCTTACTATGAAGCAAGGTATTGAATAGCATATTTACTTCCGATATTTCTGTTATCAGCGTCATTAACGTTCAGTTTATTTATTTCCACTTATTTAAAACACTTTGTACAACATGGACACTGAAAGATGCCCCATAAATATGATCTCGCGACACGAAGGAAACAAAAAGAGTGATACAGAAAAAGGAGATAAAGAGTAACAAAAACAGAAATGGGTATTGCAGAATTAGTCTCAAAAGTTATGTCCAAAGAAGCACTCGCTGATTTTGTTTCACTTGTAAATAATACAGTCAACAACATACTACAGCGTGGTCGGCATTAGTTTCTATTCCGCTCCATATCCACTATCGTTTCAAGTCACTAAGTTGCGTTTTCTGTCACACCCCGTCCAGGAAGTCGTGAGGCGTCTACACATGCTAAACCACCATAACTATTCTTCGTCCCACGGCCTCATCGCCGCTTCTTCCAACCAGTCCCAGGACAAGCAAACAGTGGGCGCTAAGGGAGCCGCCGGAACGATATACGTAACACATGTTCAAGCCACCGAAGGTAGTGTTTCATGGCGATCACACAATGAATGACAGCCTCCTTCGCATCCAAACTTACGTCTTTAGAGACAGCAGTAATTGAGTGTACAGTCATCAGTCATCCTCAGCTCGGAGAGGTCATGCCTAACAGGTTTTATGCCCAACTTTTACAGCAAGGTTAAAGCAATGACGGTGGCAAATGTGGTCTAGATTGGCGTATGGCTCATTGGTTTTTGACATGTGATTGAGAATCTCATCGGTCATGCCTCCACCAGCGCTTTCACAATTACTCAGGTCTGTAAGCCCCTTAGGAACTTTCAATGGCTCACCACCAAGGGGGAGTGGAGATATTCTTTTGTTAACCTTGTGGAAGCACTTTGCATTTCGACGGCGCCAAAGCACTCCACACTTACGAATACTGATCGCTAACTGATTGAAGGAGATTTGAGTAGTCTATGTTACTGCACAGCAGATTGATATTATCTGCACACTTAAAGTCGAAGTCTCCCAACTGGTAACAGATCTTCATCAACTACCACTCACTTGCTTCAGAGCTGTCTTGAAAATGTGATAAATGGTAAAGTTAAAGACGAATAGTAATATTGGATAGCTCAGTCTAGCCCCATTATTGATTTGGAACAATATAGATAGATGACTGTAAGTTTTCAGTTTACCTGAAGCACACGGCCTTCAAGATGTTAACACTTTTCAGAGATATTCGTTTGTGGTAGACAATTCCAACGAGTCGAAGGCAGTCCTAATACCTAGAAATACAACGATTTTTGGCTTGCGATGCGTAGGAAGGTATTCCAGCATCTGGCAGAGAACATGAGATTAATGTATTCAAAACCTGAACAAAACCCTACCTCGTAGATCGGTTTCAGGTGTTTTGCATAGCCTATGCACTATAACTACAGCCAGTATTTTAGACTCCACTGCTAACAGATTAATTCCCCAGTGATTATCACACATTACGTCGACCCTTTGTAAAGAGGGGTACTGCAAGAGTTTCACTATAGAGTGATGAAGCACTCAGTCTGTTATTCTCTCTAAAATGATATAGCCAGTTCATTGACTACAGTATTATCTCCATCTTTTAAAAGGAGTCGAGGGTATGGTGTCTGGTTCAATGCCCTTATATTGCTGGTGCCGGCTGAATTGCACTTCAGAGTCACACATCTGGCGTTCCAGATCTACGAAAGTCGATTATCAGCGTACCACCTTCGGATTACGTCTCATTGACACCAGGCTTCTTATTTTCATTGGCTTGGATGAGATGGAGAAACTAATTGTCGCAAGACGCGCAGTTTCTGCTTCTGCTCGATTTACACTTTCTGACCAGCAGTCCTTACGCAAATACTGTTTGGTCTGTCGTGTATCACGTACCACTGTATTCTTTGTGTACCGGAATGAACTAGCACGTACCAGGAAGCTGCAAAGAGATCTCAGAGTTTATTGTCAATATCTTCAATATCACAAGCCATTTTACTCATCATTTTTATGGTATCTTTCAGCTGACAGCTAATGATTGTCTACACTTTCTGGAGGTCCCACAGCTAGCCTTCAGAGTGTGTAGCCATTGATTTTCATTCTGTCAAGGATCCGAGCCAGGTAACCTGCACTGCTTAGATCGGCAACCGTAACCTGGTTTAGACTGCAACTCTTTCCTGTCAGTCGTTTATTATTGGTTGAGAAACGTGTATATAATTAATATAATGCTTCTGAAGTTTTCTGCCCTAACTAGTTAAATACTGTATTACATTAAAAAAATATCTTTCGTTAAAGCTTGGCTAGTACTAGTCGAAGAAATCCAATTCGATTGTGGGATGCATTTAGTGGCATAGTACGTGCAAATTATATTCCTGTCAATCACTTGGTAAGTGAAGTATGGATATTCTTATGTGTTTTATTCGTGCGTTTATGGCTTTCACTTAGCTGAGTGGTGAAAAAAGCCTTTTTTTGCTTCATATCAGTAGAGTCATTTTATATAGAAAATAAACTAAAGCGCGTGACATTCATGAGATGTCACTTCTAAAATCTTGACCCGACTGTCATTTGTGTTAATCGAGCAACAAATATCTAGAATTTCGACATCTTTAACTCTGACAATCGTCTGGTGTCCTTCGAGCTTTGAGGCTTGTTTTCGCACACTTGATCACCAGGGTAATTCTTTAGGAGTTACTTCATTATTAAGTAGATGCTAATGAATTCATCTAGCTTGGTAATGAAACACCCAGAAACAAGCTTCAAAGCTTGGAGGTCACTATCCAGTTATCATCATCCTGAATTGACAATCTTCCTTATTATCTTTGACTTTCTAAACATTGTAAGGTTGTTTCCAGAAATCTAACCTAAATAGACATTGTTTTTGATAGTACTACAAAGTATGAAATTCAATAGGTTCCATCATATGCTTACACTTCAGTTTTAATTCTCGTCAATAAAATTCTGTTCAAAAAACCTGTCTGATCAAGATATATGACCTTTAATAACGTATACGGTTATTGAGAAAATAATTCGCGAGGAGCAGACCAGGTTTCTTTCAGCTCGTAGATGCATTGATCGTGCGTTTACCCTCCGCCAGATGTTTGAGTATCACCAAACGTATTGCAAACCAAAAATCGCTATATTTCTTGACATAATGGTTGCTGTCGATTCGTTGTACTGTGCTCTGGAATTGTGTTTTAAAGAGGGGCATACATGAGGAATTTATTAACATCCTAAAAGCCCTATATAATAACACTTCAGGTAGAGTGATGGCATACAATCAGCTGTCTCCATTGTTCCAAACCAGCAGTGGGGTTAGGCAAGGTCGCCCGATTTATCCATACCTCTTTAATTTTGCCGTCGGTAACATTCTTCAGACAGCTCTGAAGGAGGTGCGTAATGGTGATGTAGATCTACTACCCGGACGGCTATTCAACCTTGAATATGCGGACGATATCGTCTTACTGTGCGATAACACACAAGCTACTGAAATCGCACTTAATCACTTGACGATTAGTGTCCGTAAGCACTGTATGTGCTTTGCACCATTGAAGTGCAAAGTACTTTTACAAGATTGGCCAGAGCTTGTGCTCACGCTTGGTGGTGAGCCGTGATGTGGTTGGGAAGTTCGTGTGTCTGGGTAATTGTGTGTGTTGGTGGTGTGTGATTAAGTTTCTAATCGCACATCGAAAGCCAGATTGACAATCTGGCCCACCTTTGGGACCGTCGCGACGTTAGTGTGACTGTATAAGTTCGGGTTTACAAGGTTTCTGTCAGAGCAGTTCTGCTGTACGCCTTTGAAATCTGGCCTCTGTGACCTGCGGATGTGGGACGACTCTGTGTTTGATCTTCGTTGTCTCCGCAGGATTGCTCGTATCCGGCGGCAACATTGTGTAAGTAATTCTGAGGTACAACAGCGTGTGTTTTGGCATGATGGAGATCGTCATTTAATAAGTGGAAACACCGGCTTCGATGATTTGGACATGTGTTACGCATGTCATCTCAATGGTTTTCACACTGTTCACTGTTTGCTAGCCCTGTGAGTGAATGGAAGAAGCGGTAGGTTGGTCTGTGTATAACTTGGCGCCGTGGGATGAAGCATAGTTGCATTGGGTTAGGATCTGTTAGTGCATCATGACTCCCTGGGTGGAGTCCGAAAGATCACGCATCTCAGACATTATCAGATATGACAGAGTTCAAAACTAGTGGCGGTCATATTGCAGCTCCCTTTAATCTTCTGCTACTGAAAAGTAATGAGTATTTTATTCTGAATGTATCTTACTTGATTGCCTTTCTAATCATTATATTTCTTCTTATCCATTTCATCTTACTTTTTCTTCAAAATAGTGTGACATTATTTTGTGTGGCGCATTTCTGGTGCTGTTGCTGTATCATGTTTGTAGCATAATAATAATAACAAACAGTGATAGCAATAATAATAATTGTTATGTCTCTTGGTTATTTCCGGAGTAGAATTTTCGGTGCTAACGGTATTTGCAATTTCATTAATATTTAGTTCTGCCACTGTGTACTAGACTTTAGTAATTCAAATGTTCCTCCACCTGTAGGCAGTATGCTTCTGAAAACACAAGATGTAATCACTTAGCTGGTTCCGGGATAATCACTGTCAACCATTTATAGACATTTTAAGAAAGCGAAGTTAAGTAAACTGATTGAAGCCTACTCAAAGTCGTATGATTAGTGCAACCTTCCAGGCTGTTTTTTTTCTTCTGAGGACAAAGCTGACAGGATGAAACTGTTTTTCAGATAGACTAAAAGAAAAACGTGAGTGAATGATAAATAACCAGTTGTACACTGGGACTTCAAGATTTTGAGGAAATCAAGTGTTTCCGTCACCTCTGCTAGAATAGACTAAGTTATGTTGTTTGATCTCTACTATCTTGTCGGCAGTATCCAGGAATTATATAGACTGTTTAAGACTATGAACAGTAATTAGTGACCTTATGTAATAATATCATGTTTTATTTTAATCACTCTCACACTTGTTCTTATCCCATGCTTTTATAACCAACCTGTTTTGAGCACCAACAACTTATTTTCGATCCTCAGCGTTACTCACCTTTTCATACCGAAGTGTGTGATAGATAATTAAATGTTTTGAGCATTTTAGTGTAATCCATCGTAGATAGTCATACCATACTGTTGTGTACTAAAGCACTACGTACGACTTTAATGTTTTTAATGTACATTATGTTACTGCCTTAGTGCGCTGTGCGGGATGAGTGGGACTTAATCATGCACGTCTTTTTATACGTTGCTTTGCTCCCTGTTATTAAACCAGGTGTTGATGCAAGCTATTTTTAAACTGTCACTTTGCATTCGATATGAAGAACCTCTGCTAAACATTTACTGCGTCTTAACCCATTTTAACTATGCTTTCTGCGTAATCCGTTTTAACTAAACGATCATCGAGGTTGGAACCGATTCTTGATAAATCCACCATAACTTTTATAAAAAAAAGTGAACAAAAGTGCAAATCATTGCTTGGTGCTGCTATCTTGGAGTGTGTAGCATGTTTACTGTCAGAAAAATCTCCGTACAGAAAGTTACATTATTCGAATCTCTATGCTTTTCGATAAAAAAAGTTATTTCTCTCTAAGCATTTGTAATTTGAACATGCCATCGTTATTTGCTTTCTTCACTAGGGTGAAGTTGTGTCTGCCTCCAGTATATCATTTTCCTCGAATGGTTTACGTTTATATGCTGGATTTCATCGGTACATTCAAGTATTTGATGTCTGTCGTCCTGGTACAGATTCGATTAGACGACCGAAACTTGGAAGTAAGAAACTGACAAATCTTTCTTTTGCACTAACTAATGTACATAGTTAGGCATCACCATCATTATCAGATTTATCAAACCAGTTAAAGGCTAATTGAATACTGAATACTTTTAGGTAGCGATGAGAATAATTTGTACGACTTTTTTTCATCCTCCACATTATGGAGGCTACTGGCTAATTAATGAAGCCCTATGTTCCGGGTTTTTAATCTAACTACCGATATATATGGAGGTCTTTGGGTAAATATCCACCCAAAGAACATGTAAGTTTTACACATCTGTTTATAAAGAACCATAATTTTATGATATGACTGAGTGGTTTGTGATAGTTAAAAAGTTCTCACTTGGATCGTGCAATTACAGATCAACTCATTGTTGTTGTTTTCTTTCTGACATTTATTCACAATGGGAATGAGTAAGGAAGGTCAGTGGGTATCTGTGGTTCCTCAGGAACTAAATTTATTTAACCATTGTGTTAGAAACGGTGTTATAATATAATAGTTATCTCGAATGCATCACGCAAAATAAACAGTATGAGTGGATACTGTATCTTTACTACATGAAGTGATTTACTTTTTGGAGATGAGGTGGGGATTTCTCCGTAATTTATAATAAATAGGTTGTTTTAGGTTGTGTTTTTTTTTGGAATTTATTTGTTTCAAGGTAGTATTCATCATAGACTGATATCATATGGAGAACCATTGGAAACCTGGGATTACTGGACAGTTGTTGGGTCCTGGTACGGGACACCTCAGCAGTACGCACCAACCCAGAGGGTGCGTTAATCATTGTCGATAGTTCCCTACTTTGGCATAGTGGTCATTAGCGACGTGCTTTGAGATGGATTTCCTGAAGTTCTTATAAGAAACCGTGACATGTGGGGTCAATCAGTCCGAAGTGAAGCGGATGCCGACTGAAGACTTTGGTTGACAGTTGCGCTATATCGCGAACTCACAGGAGTAGGAAACTGAACCATTGCTCTCTGACTAAATGACTGAAGTCTCAACAGGCTATTCACGAGACCTACAGGTCCTGAGTTCGATCCCGGGTGACATTGTGGGTTCGTACTGCTGGGGAGTCGTGTGCTAGGATGGAACAGCTGCCTAGTGCTCCCAGGTTTTCAGGGGGTTCTTTAAGTGATGTCAATCTATGATGAATACTACCTACCAAGAAATAAATTTATTTGTAAGGAATATTCATGCACAATGATGAGTTATTCAGCTTTGGCAGTATTTCCAACAAAACTGTTGCCCGTGATCACACCCCATCGTTGGAATAAAATAACTTACCACCGTGTGTGGATATTCCTTACAAATAAGTTTGTAATGAATTAAGTCTCACGGATATAGTTGCTCTTAAATTTCTGTGGTATATTACAATTTATTGTAGCTTTGACTAAGGTTAACTTACAGTAGTAAATCTGTCTTATTATTGTGCACTCGATCTCAGTCTGATCCTTTGTTAAATAAATATCAGTAAATGCATTTTAAATTGATTATTTGTATTACTTAGTGTTCTTTCATATACTTTGATGAGTGAATTATAGACTATCAGCTGCTGTCATTCGCTAATCTCAGTCCTCCTAATTATCCTACTAGTCTTTGTTAAATGAGTATAGTGACTGTATTTTTTCCTATTTTCAATTGATACGTTAACTGAAGTGTATTTTCTTCCTGAATTCTCCTGAGCAGGAAAGCCAATCCAGGGTGGGATAATATCTTGCATCGGTGTTTTAAATGATCGTAGTCGAAACATCTATGCTACAGGTTCTTATAATGGTACAGTGTGCATATTTTCGGAACCTGGAAATCTAATTGCACGCTTGTTCAGTCATCGAACTGGGGTTACGCAAGTAATGCTTACAAAAACATTTGCGGGAGAAAACGGTGCACCATGGTATGTTTTAGCTGGTGGTCGAATGAATTCGCGTCTAGTTGTTTGGGATGCAAGAAATTTGGTGGAACCAATTACAATAATTCATCGGCGTATCGAGAATCATCAGAAATTCCAGTTTGATGTAGAACCGTAAGTTTAGTTGCTTTTTCGTGGTGTATCTGGGTGTGATTTCAATATATCTAATCTCTTTTCTTTCCGGTAGATTTCACAAGAACTTTCTTTTCTGTTCAGGCTTTCTAACGAAGGCACTTGATTATATCAATACATATGATGGTTCGGTGGAGTGTGGCAACTTGGACCAATGCACTTCAGTGCGGGTTCTACATTGATTTTGTTTGTCTGAATATCCAGAAGATTGTGTGAAATGTTCTCGATTAGCAGTTAAGTTAACAATTCCTTTGCTTGAAGATCGAATCTGGATGTGAAGTATTTATTCGTTACACCCCCAAATATTCATTTTTAACAAAATGAATGCTCAGTGAATCTTCTCTGTTACAGCTGAAAATTGGGTAGAAGATATACATTTTCGACTAGTAGTCCCAGTGGTCGACTTAGTTATCTTACGAAAACTCTATAAAGTAAAGATGTGTGCTCTACGTAATTCGTATACTTGGTGTACAAATTTATACATCGCCGAAAATTGGTCAGTTAAACGAATTTCATTTTTGTGATGTCATTTAGCGTTAACCATTCGGTGAAAAATGTAATGAGTCGTGATTCTAAAGTGATCATAAAACCTAACATTACGCTTTTATCACTAGTTTCTGTATCATAGATTTAACACTGAAGCTTGACCGGGCTTAATATACTCATGTCTATCAGCAAATCTGGACTGCTAACATGTTAAGCGTTTTATCACATAAGGAATATTTTTCAATATTGCCTAAAAATTCTTCACCTCATTAATTGCTATTTAAATTTACGCCGAAACACATTAAACACAAACCAGGCTTATTTTCAGTATTTTATACAGTGTTCATCTACTAGTGATGGTCGGCTTAGAATCAGTTGAAATAGTTCTTTAAAAAAGTAAGCTGACGATACTAGACTGCTTATATCTACTTCTCAAGTTCAGTGACATATAATGCTCTTCACATGTAAAATTTCTGGAGTAAATAGTTATAATAATACGTTTGATTGCTTACCGACCGTTTTTTGTCCCATTAAAGTACAGTTTATACTGAGGAGACTTCACGAAGAGTGATTGATAGCAGTTGCGAATTGATTGAGAAAGCAATGAATTCGTTTTTATATCTCAATACTATTCTATGATTGATACCGGGTGATGATTGAGGGTGAAATGGAAATTTGGACCGCGGCGGGACTCGAACCAGCAACAACCGCGGTCCAAATTTTCATTTCACCTTCAATCATCATCCGGTATCAATACTAGTCTGCCAAACCACGGCTATCTCAGACAGTCAAAATGATATTCTATAACTGCTGTTAAAATCTCAACAGAAAAGAAAAAAACAAGATATATAGTTATATGTCAAAATGGTATATTCAAACGTATTTATTCTCAAGGATGTTAATGTTGCTGTTTTGATGATTAATTTATTTACGTCTTACATGTGGAATAAATGTGTATCCGTGCAAATAATGACTTTAGACGTTAAAGAGAAATTCATCTCCTCTAGTGATTTTTTCTTGTTTTAAGCGCCCTAACGTGGGTTGTTAGTATAGATTCTCAAATCGAATGCATGTTCAGTCAAAATTACGGAGCTCTGCGGAAAGATGCGGAAATCCATTCAGCTCTTTTATCATCGTAAGTCCTTGAAGCGGTCTAGTGTTTCCACAAGACATACAACCAAAGATATTCAGCAAAGGCACTCTTTTCAACAATGTCATTCTCAGGCTTTGCAACAACACAAGTATTACACTTACATAGCAATAGATAAGGAATTTATCATGAAATATATTTTTTTAAGCAGAATTCAGTAGATAAGAAAGGGAGTTACGCAATATTTAAAATAGTAATACCAAGAAAACCTAATCAAGATCGAAGCAATATTAAGTTACTAAACTAAATGATGTAATATGGAATTAATAAATGCAATGAGAAATCATAAGTTTAAGGGTGAAAGAATGTGGTACGTGTGTGGACTTAATCTACTAGTTAGCAAGTGAAAGTTTTTAGGCAGTAAAATGTTGTAAAAAGTCATGTCTATTGCAAATTGAGTAACTGAACAGACTTCTTTTGAATGCACAGTTAATTTTTCCGAATATAAATTACCGTTGCTTCCACAGTTTGAAGAGGTTTCAGGCATACGTCTTTCATGAGATTCGCATGATTTCTGTTGGTTACAATAAAGCTGTTTTTTGCATTTACCGGGTGGTCAGAATCGATGAAAGGTTTTCAGATAAAGCTGTGAAATGATCTTTGTCGAACAACGCTGGCATATGTTCGAAAATACATTTAGAAAGCGAACGCTGACTACAGCAAATATACCTTACACCACAGGAACAAAAGAATTAATAAACATTCATATAGGTGTTTAAAAGGGCTACCTTATCTTTTATGCCTAATCGAAACACTTGGTAAAATATCGGAAGGTAATCTGAATTTAGTGGCAGCATGAAAAGTCTTTCTCAGTGAGCATGCTAGATGGTTTCCTGCTGATGAGTTTCCATTGGGCCATAGATTCATTTATATGTTTCGGAGTTAGTGTTGGTTCACCGCATCACCACATTCCCGTCATCTCTTAAATACACTTAATCGGAGGATTTTCACTTACGACATGATCTCAAATGAAAAGATGTGCTGCACATCAATGCATTAACGATTTTTGAAACATAATTACTAACAAATGGTGACTGCGTGTACAACCTTGTTTTCTGCTGAGAAAGCTGTGGGATACACAGAGAAACGTTCAGAAAAATTCTCTTTTGGTTTTATAAACATGCTGGGATAATGGTGATTTGGTTGGTTGTGGTTAGCAGAGGAATCCAGGACGCGCGTTTTGTCCTATTTGGGACTCATCAGTTGAACTGAATAATCCGATCCAATAAAACAACGGGGGAATTACAAGTATACCGATAAATAGTAATGCTAGAATAATATTAAAACTTACATAATTGTTTACAATTTGTCCCTTGTATTTAGCACTGGCTGTTACCTGTTTACTGGAAGTCAAACTGGTGTGGTATGTGCATATGATTTACCTGAGTGTATCAAACAGTTTTGTGAAAATGGTCAAACTTCTTACGCATCGAGCTGGCGAGCCCATTCGGATAGCACAAATGGAGTAAGCGTACATCCTAGTCTTCCTATTGTGGCTACTTCTTCTGGTCAACGGAGAGTAAAACAACCAACATTCAAGCATAAGAAATGCAAAATACAACGTACAATGGAGACATCCGAAGTTCAGCATTCTCTTCCTAATGTGAATACCCCATGCAACAAGTCTGATAGCGACAGTGATAGTACCAGCTGTGATGAAAAAGTCTTAAATGATAATGAAGCTGCTGTAATGGCACCACCAGTTACCGGTAGTACTACATCAAGTGAAACTGATGGCACTACACTTGTTGAAGAAATTCAATTAGCTCTGAAAGGAGAGTTGACATTGATACCACGAGAAAATCGTTTAAATCTATGGACGTTTCCTTTACTCGAAGCAACATAACTTTCCCCTTGCCTTTTATTTGTTTTTCTCACTATTTTGTATATACAAGAGAAAATATTTTTTTAACGTGAAGGATTTTTATAACTCATTTGGAATATGACTTTCCAGTAGCAAAGCTGAATATAAATTCGGTGAAGTGATTGAGATAAGTATTATGCATTCACTGGGATTGTTTATTCCAACATATGATTGCTGGGTAGAATCGGAATCTGGTCGGTCAGATTAAGAAGTGGTATTAACTTATAAAATCACTCACTGTTGGTCCGGGTTATGCTGTGAAATACAAGCTTCTTTGAGTGGCTTCTCGAGATGTTACATGTCAGTGGCAAGCGGTCATAGGTGCTGTTGCTGGGAATCATTCACTATATTCTTTACTTACTTTTCTAAAAGTCTTGATTAGCTAGTTACTCTCCTTTTACCTGTTTTTACTTCAGTCCTTGTATATTTATTCTTCATTTCAACATGTTATCAGTTTTGTTTGTTTCCTCTTTCTGTGATGCAACGAAGTCTAGTTGTTTGAACTGACACAATGTTATTAGGTGGTCTTCCTATATTTTTCCCTAAGAATTTTTATCCAACAATCTGTTGTGACAGGAAATGACTGTAGTTGGACATAAATATAATCTGAGTGTAAGGATACTACTTTCTCTGAATCATGCGCAAAGTTACATGTGTCGAATAGACCAGTCGTAGATATAAAAAGAAACTAATTTGTTTGTTCCTCTCTTCAGCTTTCCTGATGGTATGAACTTATCACTGCGCTCACATGATGCCTAATTTTTACCGGTAACTGGTGTATGCTATTAGCATTCCTTTTTTCCTAATGATTGTCAGGCTGTTTATCTGTAATTCAGTATAAGTTAATTAGTTGTTTGGTTGCAAAGAGAGTAATATGTTTGTCGTGTTCGAATAATAAGTAAGAAAACCTTGTTACTGAGTGAAGTGACATAAAACTATTCAGTTTTACATTCGTTGCTAGGTTTCTGGATATATTCGGCATACAATCCTGGACTCAGGATATTCGCGTGAAATCGACAACTAAACTTGGAGAACACACATTCCTAGAATCAGTATATCATTAATATATTCTGCAATAAAAACCCATGGTTATCGTATTCAACAAAACTTAACTTGAATGACTGAATTTACTAAGGAATTTCAAGGAATTAAAAAGATTTGATTCACCAGTGGGCTATTTTCCTCTCAATAATTAAGGTATTTGGATTGTACGTCTTTGGACATATAGCCTATATGTTTTATATGGAATCGAAATTCACTCAACAACGTGCAGTACAGAATGAGTAACATCTAGTGTATGAAGGCTAGTGATACTATCTGACTGCATAAGCCTCGGTAGGAGGGGCGGAATTCGAACCCGTAACCCACTAGCTGAAAGTCACCTCCCTAAACCAACAAGCCATAGCATCATGTTTTGTAGCCTACACGTAATTTTTAAAAGAAGACGATGAAACATCGTAAATTCATTGTATTCTGCAAGATCTATTGTTTTTGCCTCACCAAAATTTGAATCAGTATTCTTACGTCTTACGCACCTATAATAACAATAATTTCCCATATGATGATAGTTTAAGGTAAACGGGAGAAGTCACTGTATGTCAGAATATAGGTGTTTATTTCCAAGCATATAGTGTATGTTGGAGGAAGTCAAAAACCATGCACATCGTTTCACATTTTGAAAAAATCAGAACATACGTCTCTGAATTAGGGCTATGTTTTTGCATGATGTGTGTGTATATAACTAAATCTAGCTATACTCATGTGATAAAAACACAAACTTCCAGTTCATAAAGGTGTTTTAAGAGTACTATTAGGCTATATGAACGGCTAAATTTATTTATTACAATTCTGATTCACCATATAAACTTGCTGCAAATGAGGTATAATCTAAAGCCCCACCATTTGTAACATCTGGTCCGTTGTATGCTTTCATTCGATTAATACAATAATCAGCCAACTCAGGTTCAAGTTCTCTTCTCAACTGTTCAGTTGTTATGTACGGCTAGTAAAACAAAAATGAAGTCTTAGTACAAAGAAGTACTGAAGAAGATGAAATGAAAACAAACAATGAGTTAGCTGATATAGGAATATATCATAGCTGCTAAGCAAGTGTCCGTTATTTTAACTCATAAATTTTAGTCTCATCGGAATCGTCAGCACTTACTGATATTTGGGTACATTCAACTAACAGATATAATATGAAATATTATTGGGACGAGCCCATTCGATCATAAGGAAAGAGATAAGATGATTGCAGCGAAGGAAAAATATTTCTTTCTTTTCAACGGACTCATTCTCTTAGCTATACACTCGTGAATATGCAGCAGAAAAAAATAATTTCTAGAGTAATTTGTGGTGAGAATACTAATCTCGAAATCCTGCTTCAGACTTTCACTAGGATTCATCCCTCCGTGGCTCATCTGTTTAGGAAGATGACTTTCAATCGATGGGTTATGTGTTCGAGCACCACTCCACCTACCGAGGTTTGGCCAGCCAGGCAGTATCATTAGCCCTCACACACTAGGTGTGGCTCACTGCCTGGTGCACGAATGTGTACAAGGTTGATGAGTGGAACTTCTCATTAGAAATGTAGTCGGATTCCACTTCCACGATGTCCATTTTCATAGGAAATATGATAATTCAGTCCAGAAACCTAATTAAAGAAAGCCCACTTGGAATGTCCAGTTTATAAATTTTCAAAGTTATGTTTCTTTGAACAGAAAGAGGAATCTTATCAATTTAATCTGCTCAAGGATGCGAAAAATGTGCGCAGAGGGTGCTACCGATAGTAACTGAAAGATCCACCGAGAGATCCTTATGAAAAATGGATTCCAGCTGAAATTTATAGACAAGAATTTAAAGTCAAAAGGGGGTATTGCAGAACTCTTGCATATTCCCTTGAAAAGGATTTTACCACTGAACCTCGAATTCCAGAAGGATAACGCTGCAGATATTCTTAAAAAACGACTACCCAGACCCGTAAAGAGGACGTTTTTCGTCGCCAATCTCAGAACCATATTCTCTTACCTGGAACTCATTCGTCAGTACATGAAAGATAAGCTGGAGCACTAGGTTAATTTGATGTGTCTATCGATTTAGTTGCTCCTATAAGCGCGCTTGGTGGGAAAGGGGGTGGGGTGGAAATCGACCCTTAGCTCCATACCAAGACACTTAGCAAACTCAGAACACTTGGGTCCTTTTGATAAGTTCCTTAAAGTGTTGTATAAATTGAACCTAAAAGGCATCAGGCATAGCTAGAGCATTAGGAGTTCAAAAGAGGTAATTTACTACCTCTTTATTTGCCGTAGCTATAGTAAAGAATCGATCACTTGAGATAATTCACTTATGACGTAACTATTTACAAAGCTTATACACATTACGTAGCTTTCCTTCGTCAAGCGACTTATATTGACATTCGGTCAGAAACTCCTGGAATTTTCTGTTTTCTCCTGTGTCCACGAATGTATAGGTAAGAGAAACATTTTCTTCGCCGCCATCCTCTTCCTCTATGAAGTATCACTCTAACTACGATCCGTGATAAGTTCTGATTATAAGTAGTCGCCACTTGTGTCAGGAGGTATGCAAGGATGGTGGTAAGGTGCTCTTAGTCAGGTTAATGGAAGTGTTAACCAGTATATTGGAATCAAATACGATCTCTTCTGACTGGTCTAAATCACTGATTATTCCTGTCTTTAAGAAAGGTGAGAAGTCCTCCTGTTATGATCACAGGGGAATCAGCCTGACGAACATAGCGTTTAAGATCCTAGGCTCTATAATTCTTCGACGCCTGAGTGGAGCTCGAGAACAGAAAGCCCAAGAAAACCAGGCAGGTTTTAGACTCAGCTGTGGGTGTACCAACCAAATATTCACAATCCGTCAGGTCCTGGAACATACACACGCTTACCAACGCCCGACAATAACTGTATTTCTCGGTCTGAGGGGGGCGGCATTCAACTCCGTTGATCACCCGCTGAAAGGCTTGCCGAGTAAGTACATCACCTTATCAAAGGCTCTCTACTCGAAAACTTGTGGGCGTGTTAGAGTCTATGGTAAGATGTCCGGGGAGCTGTGCTCGTCGAGTGGCGTCCGTCAAGGGTGCCCGCTCTCTCCATTCTTATTCAATTTTATCATGGGTGTTCTTTTGGAGGTCTCCATCTCATCACCCGATTACACAGAGTTTGACCTAATCTTCACGTGTTAGGTAAAGACGCTGGCAAGATGCAGAGTCTTCTGAATACTGAGTGGCAATTTGAGAATCTTCCAAATGCAAATTGTTGCTCCAGGATTGGTCTTCATTGGTGCGTTGGCTAATAGTAGAGAGTGAAGTGGTTGTGTGGGTTGACCACTTCACTTACCTGGAAAGCGGGATCAACCCTGGTGGCTCAGTGGTCGATAGAATTTCTGTACGACTACTAAAGGCTTGGTTACCTCTTGCCAACTTACGCCACCTAGGGCACCGCCGTGATATCCGATTGTCTATTGAGGGTGGCGTGTACACCACAGCAGTCCACTCTGTTCTACTGTATGGCTGTGAAATATAGCCAGTGAAGGTGGAAGACATCAGAAGGCTTCAAGTGTTTGACCACCGCTGCCTTCGTAGTATGAGCCGTATTTCGTGGTGTCACCACGCGGACAACGCAGAATTCAGACGTAGAGTTTTAGGGAGAAGGGGTAAGTCAGTAGACACGATTGTGAACCTACATCGACTGAGATGGTTGAGACACATGTTACTCATGCCTAGTCGCCGTCTGCCTCGTCACACAATGTTGGCCGAAGTAGATTCAGGCTGCAAAAAGGCCCGAGGTGGCCAGACTAAAACATGGCATCAATGTATGCAGTGTTTGACTGTTGGTTTCAGCGATGTAGACTAGCCGGTTGGGGTCCACGGGACAAGAGAGACCAGTGGTTGGAGACTGATTCTAGGTGATATGGCTCAGAATCGATGTCAGTGGTGCAGTTGTATACACACATTATCCTCATCTTAACGATGCTATACCGAATCTCACCACTGTCTTATTCTTCCTTTCTCTCTTTTCGTACTTTATATTTCTTTTGACTGAATTTTCTTATCTCCACCTTACACTTCACTGCCTTGTTCACTTGATGTACTGATATGAGGTGTGGCAACTTGGACCGTTGCGCAGTAATGCCTGGTCCTATGTTGATGATGATGCCAGGAGACAACATGACTGATGGATGGACTGACAAATTTGTCACGATTTCTACATCCGTATTTAGTGCAGTTGCCATTGAAACAAAATTGTGAAATCTGAATGAGCAGAACTTAAACTAGATATAAGGCTTCATAAAATGATTTGAAAGCTTGGCTTCAAATATATGATATTGTCGAGTTAGGCAACAAGTGTTGCAATTAAGTAAGAGCACATATGTCAAGCTTCCAGCTTGATACATTCTTTATTGATTAACAGTACAATTCTCTTTTACTCAGAGAAGAATACTTTACTGATTTAAATGCTGAAGAGTCAAAGCAAAATAGCGGGTTTTGTAGTACTGCATGTAATTGATCAACTTCCAGATACTTGAAGTTGTTGAACAGCTTCGCTAGTTGATTGTGATTCGGCTACAAGATGAAGTTAAATTAAAACCATTCCATTAAATCGACATCTTCATGAGTATAATATTCTCCGATGGGTAATACAAGAAAGTGATTGATGAAAGTATATGTGAATAGACTTAGAGTTTAAGTGAAGCACTTAAGTAGATACAGTTAGATAAAATACTCACAATTAGAATGAACCTAACTCTTAATAACACTGATTTCTAAATTTGTAAAGGAAAACTTACTGTGTCACCCGCTAGAGTTCTAAATGAGTCAACCATTTGTTCAGCTGTATCAGCTTCCATTGTTTGCTGTGACATAAACTGCATAAATGAATCGAATGTTACATAGCCAGTACAATGTGGATCTACAGTTTTCATGATACGCATAAAATCAGCTTCACCCTGTGATACGTTAATTGAATAGATGAGTTTTGGTTAAATGATAATAAGTCAGAAGAAATGATACTGAGTTGATTAATGATGCAGAACACTTGGAAAAAAATACTTGCACTGATAGAAGAAACAATTTAAAACATCTGGTTTACAAAGTACACCAGAAACATTTCTATAATGCATCTAACCGTTTTTCGGCAATTAAGGATTAGGTAGTGTTGCTCGAATGAACGTTACAATGACTGAAAACTAGTAGCACCAGGATTGAATGTTGCAAGCTCACCAAAATAACTCAAAATCGGTTGCATCCGTGCCAACCTGATTACACTGAAGTGTGATATGTATAGTGTTACTTAAGATGTTCCTATGTAAAGACAACTCTGTTCAATGTTGCAGAAATAGGTTTACCAGTTATCCTTTCTGTATTAGCCTGAAATAGTTTACATTCCTGTTATTTATATGACAGAATGTTTCTCGTTCCCTTCAATGATGAGTGTGTCAAAACGCATGACGTACAATTAAAAATGCTTTAGTCAATTTAGTTTCGAAGATGTATATAAACTTTAAATTTACTCCGTAAATTTAAGGAGTGGAAACTTTCTTTAAGGTGACCGAATTGATACAGGTCTGTGTATGATTAAGAAGAATAATGCAGACGACAGAAAAATAAAACCCATTTACTCAAACAACTTAAAAATGTTATGTATGCTTTTCAGAAAAAACTGTCTTAAAAATTTCCCTTCTTTTAGTTACGTGTCGTCATGACTTTGAACATACCCAATGGAGAAAATTGGATACAAAATAAAACCTGCAGTTTTAAAACTTTTTCATTGACTCATGGGGTTTGCATCTGGGTAAATCCAGCTGACGGGTTTACACCTCTGAGTATTGTTATATCAAATATTTATTGGACTCTTCAGCTGACGGTAGCCTAACTGATGAATAGCGGTATATTTACCATCGTTTCAATGCAAGTGATTGTAAGTTGCTTCACAAGATTTATTCAGCAGAAGTAAAGATGTTTCAAAAGTTTGTCAGCAATCTAATTAATCTATTTTTCTGGGGAGGAGGATATCAAAATGAAAAGAAGCAACCATAAGGTTAATTGACAGTAAAATCCCTCTGATTTATTTAGTTTAGGTTGCGAAGTTTGGTGCTTTAACCACTCTTTACTTCAACATTACAACAAGATCAATGGTAACTACATGTTGGTTGGTTTCAAAAATACATTAACTGACAGTTCAAATGAAGATGACAGCTGTTAGGTGTTTTTAAATTTGGATATTTATATTATTTGGTCGGTGGTGGCTAGCAGTGGAATCTAAGATGCACGTCCTATTTGGGACTCGTCAGGTGGATGTACCTGCATTTCACCAAGACTGGAAGCCAGTACCAAACGCTTTAAACCACAGAGCGTTATTCCTCAGGCTACTGAGTCATGACAGTCATCCGCTTGTGTTATAGGTATCTCATATTTTTTTATTTATACATGTAATTTCCAGTTGGTTATCATTCTAGGTCGAATTGATCAGTTTCAGTTCGCATATGGGCCCCTATACGGATATCTCAATGTTGCCAGAAGAGTAACTATGAAGCAATTTGATTAGTTGTGATCTGTCATAACAATCAATAGGAAATTAATAGTATCAATCGATGAGTAGTGATGCCCATTATATAACAGGTGGCTCTCGTGACTCAGCCTAGCGTTTGAGCCGATGGGGTTGGATTGAAGTCTCAGTAAGGAAAAAATAACTCACTGCAATGTAGGTAAATACAGCTGACAAGTCCGAAATAGGACAAAACGAGGGTCCAGGCTTCCACTGCTAGCCATCACAGAGCAAATTACACTAAAATGAAACAAGGCAATATTGAGGCAACTGTTGCAAGAGCCTACAGGCCAACAGACTTATAACCTCAGTTCAGCACAACAGTCAACGTAAAGTGAAAAGCATCAATGAAACGAATTTCATAGTCATCTCAAATGATATCTTTAACTACCAGTTTTGAATATCACACCTTGTTATCTGATGAAAGTTTTACGAATAAATATCAGTCCACGAACAAAGAATCAGAAATCCATCATATTTGATCGAAAAGAAATTGCATTATGCTTTGGACGAAACGATCGAAATAGCAAGATTCAGATGTTGGTTAGTATGAACAAAACATGCGTTGAGCGGTTGAAAAATAGAACTCACTTGGGAAGTGTTAGGGATCGTAAATCCAAGTGACACCAAACAAGCTCTAAAGTCTAGTGGGTCTAGTCTACGCGTCCTATGCCTATCGAAGTGATTGAAGCATCTGCGACATTCATCAATTTGTTGTTCTGTAACACCACGGTATTCATTAGCTATAATACGATTTTCCACTTCATTTTGACCACGTTTCACATTAGTCTTCAGTTGTTCCCATCCAACACGCAGCGTTTCCATTGTATATCGTGTATGTGGATTATGCGTAATAAGGAATTTCTGTTGTTTCTATAAAAAGAAGGGAAATATACAAGTTTTATTATTATTACTGTAACTACGATAACATGAAACTTAAAAATCAGGAAATCTGCATTTTTAACATTATAACAGGCTACGAGGCACATTTAATGTCTGAGAGCTTATTACGCTAGCTGGTTGGTTTCCTAAAGCTTATAAAGGCGGAACATGGTTTGAACATTATAAAGTGCTTACGCCAGTGAGCAACACATTCACAACCTACTATTTTTAGAGAACTGATGCCCACTCAAATTCCTGAATAAACCACATAGTGTTGCATCCACAGTTCTTCATCACTGAGTTATTCAAATCGTTCACTTTGTTAAGCACTGACAGTAAATCATAAGTAAATCTACATGATACAATGATATCAAATGATTTATTTGAATAGTTTTAATGATTAGAATAGATATGAAGGTTATGAAGACATTTTCCGAATACACAGAACAAGTTTAATGCTTTCTAGTTCGTTGGTAACACGATTTGATCCACTAAAAGAATAAAGAGTAAATTTGTTGCTAATTCGCTCCGTGTAAACACAGTATTTACTTCCTTCATAAGATATGTTGAGTGGATATCTGAATGGCATATACCTCTAATGAAAACTACTTTAAAGTAGGGATCTCTCATGACTATTTGATTATGAAAATGAAATCCAAGAAAATTTACAGATTCATCTAACCTTTTTCTTGTGATCTTACAAATGTCCTACATCTGTAGCGATGACCAACCACTTTATTTGCTAGGTTTTGTGTGAGAACTAATAATTGTTTCTAGCTGCTGACACCTGGATAGACAAAGTCATATGCAAACCTTTGATCTAACTAGAAATAAAGCGTTTAATCAGACAAACTACAGTTCAAATTCAACAGATATTCTCAAACACTAGCCGAATAATATTCACTGAACGCTTTGTAGCGTATGAGATAATGCATTTCATTTCGTCCCGAACCGAAAAGCATTTAGTTTATTCATCTCAGTAAGTGTACATATTTTAAATACCTAATCTACTTACATAGTCTATAATCACTTTTAAATCAGGGTGTCCATCTACAACTTGATTATCACAGTTTATCTCTTGAAACTGATACTGAGTTGAACACATACAAGTAACGCATATTACAAGTGATGTAGATTATACATCCTTCTTTAAATCCTTGGAGAGAAATTAACAAATTATAAGGAATCTTTTAGTGGCCTACTTGAATCCAAACCTTTCCATTTTTCCATGGAATAAACTGCAACAAAGTTCATCGTTTTACATTGTTTTAATCATTCAAAAATAGTGTAATCTCTCGCAAATTTTTAAAATACTTTAAACTTATGGCTTTACAAATTAAACGTAACATTAAGAAAAAGCAGCATGATAGATGGCAATGGGTTCTTAAGTGTGCAACACCACATCAAATGATCATTTCTGAAATATTCTGATGTCCAGGTCTCTGCCGAAATAACGTTGGTCACTTTCAGTTATTCATATTCATGAATATCTATAGTAATTCGGGTGTAATACTGTAAAAAAAACGTAGCTTTGTAATCTTTATGATAATAGTTTGTTGTCTGCATTTAGTTTCATTTTAATTTAACAGAACCGATATATTTCCTAGAAGAAGTATGGTGCAGGTGTAGTTATGTCTATCATCAAAATCAAACAGTCTACTTTCAACTATGTATGATCCAGCTTCTCCAAGGACGATACTGATTGGATTAATATTAAATGTCATCTTAGACGGTAAGGTTAACACAAACATATTTACATAAAAAATTTGTGCCACACCTGGGCGTAGTTCCTCACATTTATTTTTTTATGCTGATGAATTCATTAAATCTGTTGCTCCCATTCCAAGTAACCCTTCATCTAGAATCTGTAGATATTTTAATCTGTTGGGTTACAAGAATCTTGTGAACTTTTCAACTCGTCTTGACACCACACTGGAATTGGTGTTCATAAATGACACTAGTATATATGGAGTCCATGAACGAGCTCCTTCGCTAAAGTGTATAGCAAATAACAGAAGAGGGCTTTTGAATACTTTCCCAAGAAAGTCTAGCATAGATGTTATTCACAGGACAGTACATTGCGTTTGAGAAATATGTTGAGATAACACTGTCACTAATATCACAATCTAGTGCAGATGTTTTCAGCTATCTTAAACCCTGGAATCAATTTCAAAGTCAAGGTCATGATGGTATTTGAAGTATTATGGTTAGCAAATGCGCAGATGGTTTGTCATTGTTTTATAGATATCTCTAATGCATCATTTTTCAAAAATACAATAATCTGGGAGGATATTCAAATTACACTTATAACAAAGGTATCTTTTCAATCGCATGTCTAAATGACTTTCAAAAAGTCAGCGCTGAAAATTCAGCGTAACTCAGCCTCTACTTTCAAATTCTGCTAATTCCTACAATTTTCAATATTCTTCATTACTCTTCCCCTTCAATCTTTCATGGTTTGCTTTCAAATCTGTCAGCAGGATTAGTGGTGTGCCTCAGACTCAAATGATGAAAACCCCCATTTGACCGACAAGTGAATTCAAGCAGGCAACTAGTTACCGTCAATTTATAGGATGTTGGGCGCCCCTCTTAACTCAAAACATTGCTTAGACATTTCGTTAGAGGAATAAGAAGCAACTCCATCAAACCTTTTACTCGTAGGGCTAAATACAAAAATGAAGTTATACTTCACATAGTAGGCATCTAACTGGAATGAAGAAACAAAATCATAGTCAATCCTGTGAATATCCCAACCATTCATGTATACCTGTATTCATACCAATATCGTTGCCGTAACTTCACTGCTAATATTATGCATTAATTGTTTGTCCCTCGGGTTCCTAGTGGAACATAAGGCTTCAGTAGCACGCCTCCATCTCACTCTATTCTCTGCAGTCTTTTGAACATGGCTCCACGACTGTCCAGAAGCTTTCATTTCCTCCTCACACCATCTCGTCCAAGTCACCGTCGGACGCCCAACTCGTCGTTTCCCCTTTGCATTCCACTCGACGGCCTGGCACGTGATCTCTCCAAATGGTTTTCTCAGTGTATGCCCAATCCAATCCACATCCACTTTCTTCTGCATATTTGTTGGGCGATAGCTTCTTGGTTGCTTCGTTGCCAGAGTTCCTTGTTGCTTATTCTTCCTGGCCATCTGATCTGATCTTCATTATCGAGTGAGCGTAGGCGGCAGCTGTTGATGAATGTCTGTAGTTTGTTGGAAATGCTTCTCATAACGTGCCAAGTTTATGAACCATATTGAAGCACCGACTTGACATTAGTGTTGAAAATCCGAACCTTGTTGACGCTTTATGGTGAGTGCAGTAGATCTCCACACTGGTTTCAGATTGATGAAGGCCACTCTTGCTTTCCCGATCCTGGCCTTGACGTCCTCGTCTGTGCCACCTGTGGTTGAAACAATGCTGCCTAGATAGATAGGTAGGTAGGTAGGTAGGTAGGTAGGTGAAAGAGACTATTTCCTTTAAAATTTCTCCCGTTGATGGTGATTGGCACTTGTTGTTGTCGTTGGTTGGGGATCTTCATCACCTGTGTCTTCTCTACGCTCACTTGAAGTTCCGTCTTCGCTGCCCTGCCTCTTCTGTCAACTTGTTGGTTCTTGCCTGTAGATCTTCGAGTTTGTGCTGCAAGACATTAAACATAAATCGTCATCGGGGAAGTGCAAGTCTTCTAGGGTCTTTTCATCGATCCAGCCGGCGTATACCCCTCTTCTCGCTCCTCACAGTTTGTTGCATGATCCAGTCGTCCACAATCAGGAAGATGATCTGTGATAGTAGGCAATCTTGTCTTACTCCCGTCTCCACTTCAAAGTCGTCACTGAGTTTTCCACTGTGAATCACCTGGCATGTGTCGTCTTCATATAGTTGTTGAATGAGGTTGATAAAGGTTTGTGGTATTCCGTAGTGTTGAACCAACTGCCAAATTACTTCTCGGTCGACGCCGTTGAAGGCCTTTTCGAAATCGATGAAGTTGAGGCAGAGAGTTGATTGCCATTCTATACTCTGTTCGATGATGATACGTGGCGTAGCGTTGCAATTTGGTCCGCACATGATTTGTACTTCCTGAATCCAGTCTAGCCAGATCGTAATTTTGAATCCAGCGCATCTTTTAGTCTCTTCAGGACGATACGGCTTAATATTTTGCTTAGGGTGGACAGCAGCATGATTCCGCGTCAGTTCTTGCAAAGACTTAAGTCTCCTTTCTTTGGGAGTTTGACAAGGTAGCCCTTCTTCCGATCAATGGGTAGGTATCTCTCCTTCCTTCCAAACCTTCTGTAGTAGTGGTGTGAGTATGTCCGCTAATGTCTATGTGTCTGTGTTCAGTGCTTTTGGCGGGATTCCATCTAGTCCTGCTGCCTTCCCGCATTTTAGTAGCCTTATGACATTCAGGACTTCGACTTTCGTCGAAAAGGATTGTGTTTACTTGTAGTTCTGCTGTCGCTGGTGGTATTTCTGGACAAGTTTCAGGTGGTGGTCGATTCAAGAGCTTTTCGAAGTGGTCAGCCCATCGTTTCCTTTGTTTCTCTTCTTTCGTAATTAAATTTCCGTCATCATCTTTCATTGGTTTCATGTTTGTTGATCTGTTCCCAGATTATTATTCTGTATATTATTATTAGTCCCTTGGGTTCCTAATGGAACATAGGACTTCAGTAGCACGTCTCCAGTGACCTCTGTTCTCTGAAATCCTTGGAACATGGCTCCACGACAGCCAACAAGCTCTCATTTCCTCCTCGCACGATCTCCTCCATGTCATCCTCACCTCAGACAACCAACTCGTCGCTTCCCATAGGGATTCCGCTTGAGGGCCTGGCCTAACGCGTGATGTCCCCAGTCGGCCTTTTCAGTGTATACCCAATCCATCTCCATTTCCTTCTGCATATTTGTTCCGAGATAGGTTCTTGCTTCGTTGGTTCATTCCCAGAGTTCCTTGTTGCTTATTCTTTCTGGCCATCTGATCTTCAGTAGCGAGCCAGCGTAAGCAGTTGTTGATGGATGTCTGTAGTTTATTGGAAATCCCTTTCGTGACGCGCCAAGTCTCTGAACCATACAGAAGTACTGACTTGACGTTGGTGTTGTAAATCCGTATCTTGTTCCGCATGCTGAGTGCAGAAGATCTCCACACTGGTTTCAGGCTAATGAACGCCTGTCTTGCTTTTCCGATTCTGACCTTGACATCCTCGCCTGTGCCGTCTGTTTTCTCTATATTCACCTGAAGTCCCGTCTTCGCTGCCTCTTCTATCAACTTGTTAGTTTTTGCCTGCAGATCTTCAAGTTTATGTGACATCAGGCACAAGTCATCGGCGAAATCCAAGTCTTCTAGGTTCTTTTCCGCTGTCCAGCCAGCGTATCCCCCTCTTCTCGCTCCCCACTGTTTGCTGCATGATCCAGTCAACCACAGTCACAAATATCATGGGGGATAGTAGGCAACCTTGTTTCACTCCTGTCTTCACTTCAAAAGCATCACTGAGCTTCCCATTATGAATTACTTGGCATGTGGCATCTTCATATAGTTGTTGAATGAGATTGATAAAGGTTTGTGGTATTCCGTAGTGTTGAAGCAGTTTCCAAATTACCTCTCAGTCGACGCTGTTGAAAGCCTTCTCAAAGTCGATAAAGTTGAGGTAGAGAGTTGACTGCCATTCTATACTCCGTTCTATGATGACATGATGCGAAGCGTCGCAATTCGGTCCGCACATGATTTGTACTTCCTGAATCCAGCCGGCCAGCCGGTTCCGGTCGTAGTTTTGAATCCAGTGCATCCTTTAGCCTCTCCAGGTTGATGCGGCTTAATATTTTGCTTCGGGTGGACAGGAGAGTGATTCTACGCCAGTTCTTGCAAACACTGAGGTCTCCCTTCTTCGAAAGTTTGACAAGGTTACCCTTCTTCCAATCGCCAGGTACCTTCTCTTCCTTCCACACCTTCTGCAATAGTGGTGTGAGCATGTCTGTTGTTGTCTCTGCGTCTGTTTTCAGTGCTTCTGGCGGGATTCCATCTGGTCCTGCTGCTTTCCCACATTTCTGTAGCCTTATGGCATTCAGGACTTCACTTCTGCTTCTGTCGGAGGGCTTGTGTTCACTTGTAGTTCTGCTGTCGCTGGTGGTATTTCTGGACAAGTTTCAGGTGGTGGCCGATTCAAGAGCTTTTCGAAGTGGTCAGCCCATCGTTTCCTTTGTCTCTCTTCTTTCGTAATTAAATTTCCGTCATCATCTTCCATTGGTTTCGTCTGCGTTGGTCCCTTCCCAGATCGAGAGTAACCTGGTTATTTGATACAATGTTGTCAGGTCCTAGCAGCAGATTGTTCTACTTCACTTGCCAGTGTGTCGTAGAAGTGTCTTTTGTCTTTCCGTGCACTCTTCTTCACTTCTTTGTCCAGTGTTTTATAGGTTATGTTCAGTTCCTCTTCTTGTTGAGCATCCTTGCACTGGTTTATCTTCTGCTTCAGCATCTTCCTCTCCTCTATCAGCTTCCAGGTATCCATCGAGATCCATTCCTTGTCTTCTTTCTTCCTCTTCCAAATACACTTATGCAGGTTTTTTTCCACAACCCTTTCAAAGGGTTCCAGTGTTCATCCACACAGGTTTCTTCATGGATGTTGCTCGATATCTCCCATTTTGTCCTGATGACTGACCACATGAAGATTTCCTTTGTAGTTTCGTCCTTTAGTTTCTGTTCTGGGTGTTGAACTTGAACTGTGGTCTGTCACCAACTTGTTTGAAGGCTTTCAACTTGATTTTGAAGGTAGGTTCCTTGCACTAGATAGCGGTCTGAACCTACATCTGCTCCCCTTCTTGACCTTGTGTCAAGTAATCTGTGTCTCCACTTTCTTGAGATTGAGATGAAGTTGATCTGATAATTTAATTGCTATAATTACCATTATTAAAAGTTTCAATTTTAAATACTGAGAATTCCAAGTGGTACAAAAAATGTTGTCTGAAATAAATTGAGGATTTATAGCACCACTAGTTATCCATTAAATTCACATCTACGATAAGAGCATGACTAGGAGTAGATCAGTGAAGTTACCCCACCTGAATTGAAGTATCAAAGGAAAAAAGATTGCACTTTAGACCATTACACGTAGATTCTCACTTGGTCTTTAAAGTATTGCATATATATCCTGTGATATTGGCAAAGCAACAGCATTTTTTATGGTCGAATGCGATAGTATCTATCATGTTAATGCTTCAGAAAAGATAATATTACAGTTGAACAAGTTTTACCCAAGGTTTAACGTCGGGCTGCTGAATACTTAAAACCTCGATTATAACACCCAATTAAACCAAGATGTGTATTGAAGATGATTTATCATTTCAAGAAATTCAGGAAAGTAATAGGATAGGGTACTAGCGATATGTCAATAAAGTTTTACTTCAATCTAATCAGCAAAAAATGGGCACAAACACCCAGGAATTTAAACTGTTTTATCTCTTAAAGTGTGGTTTTTGTCAACTTCTATAAACACAGCGCTTACAACAGGTGAAAAAACTAGATGTAAAATACAGTAGTATTGATGATAGCAAGGGATAAGGAGGGATAACCTATACATGACCGAAGCCTGGACCCACAGTGGACAAACAGCAGTTTGAAAAACTATAGCATGTTCAAGGCCTACATTTAGTTGCAGGTTCTTTCGAGACTGATATGTGGCTTCTTTTAGAACCAACGAATTTTAAAGAATATTTTGTAAACGCTACTTTCTTGATGAGCTGAACGAAAAAGAAAACTGCAGGCCACTTTTATTGTGTAACAATTAAAGACACCTGTTCAGACTTCGAAGCTATTACAAGGTGTCACCTTAAAAGTTAGTACTTCATCATTTTTATGCCTCTTTCGATTCAAATATTGACGATATACTGCATTAGCATTATTAATGTATCATTAGTTCATCTACATACCCGATGATTAGATATGAATGTGGACAGCCTAAAACATTCAGGAACAAGAAATACAACATGCTTATTTCCAGGAACTTCAGACCTATGTGCCTAAAGTTTCTCAACGAGCAAAGTCATACGACGGGATATTTAACTTGTAGTTTAACAAAATAGACAGATTCGTGTATCTGAAGAACAAGGAAATAAAAGCCATTACTAACTAAAGTGAATTCTTGCATCTAAATGAAGCTTTAATATCAGTCGACGAGTTCACTTGTAATACGTTAAGCACATAAATGAACAGTAGGGGAAAATTATATTTTTATGGGAGTTTGACTTGAAGTTACGAGAAAAATTTTGAGAACTAATGTGTGCCAAGTATTACTTGTTTGGAAATGACATGAATAGAGTCCAAGTTATGCTTTGTTAAGGACTGTCACTTCATCCTTTTCTGAGTCATAATATGATGTGCACAACACGGTGAGATGAAATCATGTGTATATTAGATATTACCGAGGCACTGCTCGTTGTTGATGTAGAATAGTCTAGTGTACTAGTTAATGATACCTGTCACGCGCTACAAACTAATATATTTCGCTTAAAACCTCTTTATCTGAAAAAATTGAATAGTTCGAATCGAAATGTACTCAGTCAGCTTATGCACATTCGTGCTGTAGACAACGAGCCACACCTATGGCGTGAGGGTTTTGCTACTACCTGGCTGCCCAAACCTCAGTAGATGGGAGAGGGGCTCAGATCCTTGACCCATTGGTTGAATTTCATCTCCTTACACCAATAATAAGTAACAGCTCTACATTTGTTATTACTTGTATAACGTGAACTATGATAAAAACGTAGCCACTGCATCCCAACCTTTGACATGGCCACACTAAGCAAGAACTCACGAATATAGGTAAAACAAGCTTAGCTTTTTGGTCAAAGACTAGACATTGAGTAAACAAGCAATTCTATGAGTTGTGAGCAAGTCTATGCTCCTATCACAATCCCTTGATCACTGTATAGGTTTGAAAATTTACAGTATAAAAGTTCTTCAACATGTTATGTGGCGAAGTTAAAGGATAGGTAACATCTATTTCATATGTTCTGTAAACCTACCTGATGAAGTTTTTCTAACTCATCCATTGTTGATTTCCATCCTTCTAAATCTTCTTCAATTTTGTTTAAACGTTGAATCTGATCGTCTAATGATAACTTTTGATTTGTTACAATTGAATGTACTGAATCCAGATTATGTTCTAAGTAAGGTCCTAACCGACTAGCGATTTGAGCGAACTGACTGTTCAATTTTTCATTTTCCTGTTGTTTAGTTAGTTCTTGACGTAGTGCATCATCTCTTCCTCCAATTAATGAATACATCGCATCCCATCTAGTTTGTAATGTCTATATGGAGAGAAAAAAAGACCAAAGACTTGTTTACTCCGTTATTTGTACAAAATCGATTAAGATATATTCTATCACACTTAACTACATTGTGTACAATATTTAATATTAAACGTTTCCTGCTTAGGAATTCTTAGTATCACAGTTGGTTTTCCGCTGGATCATATATCCTGAGTAGAACATGACAATTTTCGCGAAAAACCCACTTCAACATCTTGATTACTTATGACATTTTTCAAACTGAGTACGTGGTTTCATGAAGAGAAATGATTTAATACATAAATTTAGTCCATGCATTTTTGACAGTGGTCATTAAATTTTCAATATGCAAAATAATAACTCAAAGACGGCTGGCTTCAGTTTCAGATAACATAAAAATGCATTAATTATTATGTAACATAACTAAACGTAAAAATGAAAGATTTTACTACAAATTAACATACTGAAGATCGGAGGTTTTACTACTAGATAGTCCAATAACAAATGATCATTTTATATCATGATGATTAAATTACATATCAGTGTAAATCGAACTACTACATAGTAGCGCTTATTCAACTTCAACCGGTTTCAAACTAATCAAAGTACAATTAGCAATCCTGTGTACATTCGTGAAGTAGGCAATGAGATACACCTTTCGTCTGTGTACTCACACCTCGATAGGTGAAGCAGGTCTTGAACCCATGACCTATTGGTTGGAAGTAAGCTCCCTAAACCAAAGAGCTACCGCTCCAGGTTTCAAACCAATGCAGCTATGCGAATATTAAGTAGGTTTGAAACAGGATCTAATTTGAAGCTGTGATCTATTATGGATGAATAACAAAAAAGTCCAAAAGATATGAATTACAAAATGAATAAATATGCGATCTTAAACACTGAGACGGTTTCTGTCATCATATTTGTTAAAGAGATAAGGGGGAAAACCAATAAAGGTGACCAAAAAAGATAGAATAATATCGGAGCTTGAATGTTTGATTCTCAAGGCAAGGTAAAGATAGTGAGTGCATCTGCATTGAAGACATCAATTTCAAGTGGTTTCATTCAAAATGGATAGCCCTTAACTTATTTTACTCCAGGAAACTCTATCTACAAAGTCTTTAATTATAAACATCCAACTCATACTGACAGTAATTGAGCTGGAAAATTCGTCGGCTGTCTTTAGCCAATTACTCACTATACTTCTTATTTAATCATATTTTACTAGTAAGAGTCTTATACTGGTTGAAAATGCTTCAAGTACATCATCTGGTGAGGGTTATCACCTCGATAACTAATCCTCCTCTTCTGACTAGAAATCCGCGAATAACTCCACCAAATGTCAAAATGCAACGCTATCACCTGTTTAGAGTCCCAGGTCAACAACATATTTGTACTGCATCACTAAACTCCACCCTTTGGAGAGGTGTCTTCAGTGGCTGCTGTCACTGACGATAAAAATGTTATCATTTCTAACGGCCAAAAGTCTAATGCAAATATAGATAAAAGGTATTATCTTACGATGAAAATTTAATAAGAGGATTGCCTAGGAGTGGAACTTTTCTCTCTCACACACACATATCTTTATCCTGTCTTCATTACCTTGAAAAAAACAGCAATATTTTACAGTGTATATAATCAACTTATCAAAATATTTTCATAAAATACAGTGATAAACATTTATATTCCTTCTAAGCAATATCGAAAGTCTTGTTAATGAACACGCGCATTGGTGTTTAAATGGTAAATTCATGCAACAGATTTCCCAATCGCTTTTTACTTCGACACAAACATTTCTGTGTTTGAATGTCGATATATGCAAATATATCTGAATATACAGCTATGGGTAGCACTTGAGAGTACTTATGCAGATAAATATTTACACCATAATAAGCATAAACAATTTGATGAATAATACTAAATGAGTCATTTAATAACCCGTTTACAGAAATGGTGTTTACTTTTATCAATCTCGACGTGTATATCAGTGAATTCAGTAGTGAACTGTGTAAACAGAACGATGAAAAACCATTTTCATCTTAAGCTGATGTTCGAATCAAACTGTATGAAGAGACAAAAGCATTGAAAAGCGTACGAGCACAAGGGATATGTCAGACAGACAGGCGAAATAAACGTAGAACCTCGCATACAACTGCACTGGTTCACGTTCTCACACTTCGCAGTAGTACATAAAGAACAAGCGGATAGAGTAAAAGGGCGATGAAGGTAGACAAAGGTAAATTTCAGAATAAACAACTTCAAGACATTAAAGAGCAAATGTATCTGAACCACAACGACATATTTCCAGTCACATCATCAAGAGTTCTCAACCAGGGATTCCTAGGGATAAGTATTGCTTTAAGAAAGAAATTTAAAATCTAGGACTATATATATATATATATATATATATATATATATATATATATATATATATATATTAGATAGATAGACTAGATAGATCATATAGATTAGATTAGACAGGTAGATTAGAAATGCTTTAATTAATGAATCAAACCAATGAACTACTGTGTTGGAATGGGAGTGGTCCTAGTGGTGCAACTTTAGTCTGTACTTCTTTCATAGCACAACATATGTCTGAAGTTAATTACGTTAGGTAGTATGATCTTTCTGCGGTTTGTGTTTATCTTTTCTCTTAAGAATGGTCTCTATTTAAGTGTTTTAAGTAGCTCCAAGACAAAATTAAGAAGTCAACTCGAATCAGGAAAAATGCATAATGATCAGTAATTCAACTGTTACAGCCTAACAAACCTCTCACGTGATTTCAGTATATGAAACTCAGTACCCTGTTATGCACTTCGGATAACATAAGTTTTAGAATCCCGTTAGCTTTATTGCTGTTCGTTTAGACCCATGTTCAAAAGGAAGGCATTGTATCGTTCGAAGGAAGGTAAGGATCGATGCATGACTTTTTAACCACTTTTCACAGAGTTCGCACACCTAGAAGTTGCATACCTCTACCGTTGAGCAGGAAAAACAGCTTTAGAAGAATAGCATGGATTCAATTTATTTCGAGATTTCTCATCAGCTGCTTACAACCTACAACTATTTTTATATCAAAAAATACGAAGAAATGTAATTGGTCACAAAAAAAGGTGACGCGACACTCTGAAATAAAATAAATGTATGCTATTCCGCTAAAACTGTCACCATTCTACTAAAATCAATTCGAAGACGGAATGGTATGAACTTTTTTCAGTGGCCTAATGACAAAGGGTCTATTCAACAAATTAAACCAGATTGATGTCTTCGAAGCCTTCACAACACATGTAAGTAATCGTGCAATTTACATTTCACACAAAATATGTTATGCTTTTAAAATATTTACCAATTTCCAAAAGTAAACGTACTTTAGAAGTAGTATTGATGCTTATAATTCCCCGTTTATTATCATGCTAGATCGCAATGAACGGGGTCTCCTGACAAATAATATTCAGTTACTTACTCAAAGTGATATGCGTTATACGAAGAACCGACCGAGTACAAAGTACTCAAATTATTCTCCAAAAATGTTATTCTATTCTTATTCAGTTGTCTTAAAGTTCCATAAGTTTAATATGATAATTGAAAATTTCATGTTGATAAGGATGTTGTCTTATAAACTAAGAAATGGGTAACAACGGTAAACAGATAACTGTTATGATTCCTGGATTGTGTTAATTACTAGCAGAAAAGTATGTGATTAGATATTAACAAATACAAGAGTATAGTAGATTTACAGAAAAAACAAAGCACTAAATATCAACAGTAAGCAATGACATCTCGTTATCACGAGAAAGTTATGAACTTACAGAACAATCAATCATAGTGTATGGATTCTCGATTAATTTCGGTGAGAGATTATTCGATTCAATTAGCTTTCTCACTTGTTCCGTCTCTGTTATGATATCATTTAATTCCTTTTGTGCAGCTGGGAGGGTTTTCTTAAAGTTCTCATGTCCACTTATCAAAGACTGATTTGAAGAAGAACAAAAATATCCAGAGGAAAAAAAAGATTAAACACTAGATAATTCCTTCCTCTTCTAATTCAAGTAAAAAAAAACCATAATGTAGTTCTAATTAATAAACCTTAACAGTTTCGATAAAAATCTATATACTCTCGATTCTGATTGCGGTAAATTGATCAAGAAACCAGTAGGAAATCAAATTTATTGAAACAACAATGAAATGGACTACGTTTTGGTATGAATGGGTCACTGCTAAGCGTTCATTAAAAAGGATGCACCGAAGCTATATGACGTTTATCCTTCGAATGGTAAAATGTAATCAACAGAGAACTCTATAAAATTACTTACATTAACAATCTAGTAAACGATTTTCTCTTCTACAGTTTTGTCTAAAACGTTTTTCACTTGGATAGAAATAATTAAATGCTAACTTTTCTGACTGAGACAATGGACGCCACAGTATCTCTTAAGGCATATTAGCATTGGCTCTTTTGGGCTACAAATATACTTTGCAGATAAATTCTAACCTGTATGAAATGAAACTCCAGTACTTTATAACTAAGCGAAGCTCTAAGTATTCTTAGCAGTTTAAAACACTATTAAAAGAAAACGGTTCAGTACCTTAACGATTAAATGGCAAATTGTATCATTAATTCCATATGTGGCTCATGACTGCGTGTAACTATTAGACAGACAAATAAAATTACCCTGTTATTAAGTTTGCAGATAAAACCTCAACCGCAGAACAACATAGTATGGTCTAGTTGAATCTGGTTGAGACTAGTGGGAAGTTCGAGATACAAAAAATAACTGGAAAAATTTCTTACCATAACATCTTCAACTCTGTTGACAATAAACATGTCTTGAAGATCTTCAGTTGCTTGCTCTAACCAATTATTAAAAGGCTGTGTATGAAATGGAAAGTTTTAAAAAAGGAATAGAAAAATGAGACATTTCATTTAATATCAGTCAATGTTTTGTTGTAAGCGTAGAGAAACTGCAGTGTACAGGCTTATTCATACTTGCCAAACGAGGCTTGAAGCTCTGACTCCTTGATTGGAATGGAAGTGCCAGTACTAATAAATCATAATGTGAGACGAGATGAAACGGTTGTTATTTGATTCCAACTGTCAACAAAGTTAGTTTATTAAGTCAGCTCCTTTTTTGTCAATCTTCAGCAAGTTATCAAACTATACAAACGGTCAACTAAAATTTAAGCCTAAAAACATCATTTGAAACGTATATGATTATTGATGGTGATGGTTGTATTATCCCATCGTTGGCTAGACCAAATTGATCCGCCTCCATTGGTATATGGGCTCCTATGCATCCTGGATTCCACTGCTAGCCACTATCCATCAAATGATAAGGAATATCGAGGCATCCACATAGGTGCCCATGTCCCAATGGAGAACGATCAATTCGGCCAAATAGATGGGATAATACAAAGAACAACATAAAAAACGATGCCCGTTGTACACAAAGTCGCTATAGTGACTCAGTAGCCTGGTGGATAATGCTCTTGCGTTTGAAGCGATTAGTCTAGGGCTAGCGTCTTAGTAGGAGCAACACCACTCACTAGGAGACAAGAATATGACTATTACTTGGTAGAAATATAGGCTACAGAAAAGGTCGAAAACAAGTAGATTTATTGTGGATGAAGACATAAATCAGTACTATACCTCATGACAAGATATCTTACATAAAGTTATGGACTAGCACTTAGCATTCAGAAGAATTGTTGTCCAGGGTGCAATATTCAGCAACAAATTTTTATTGACTTTCCCGAGAGATATTTGATTTATATGTATCGGTTTTAAACAATACAGACGATCAAAGCACATAGAAATTGCTGCTCACAAACATATCGAAAGCTCTCTCGTTAATTTCCAATTGTGCCTTTCATTTCAGCGTAATAATAACCAGGGGTTTAGGACTCATGAAAGTACTGCGCCAATGGTTCCCTCTATTTTATAACTCACAAGCAACCCACATTATGTCAATTAGAAATAAATACAGGATCTTCAGAATTGATCGTAATCTTCATGACTTACAGAACAATGGTCTTTGCATCTAAAAATATTAATTACCTCCAGAATGTCAAGATGTAGCCAAAAACCTAAATTAAAATTATCACTTATTGTCTGAGTGTACGAACGGATTTTCAATGTTCACTGCAACTGACTTACATGGATAATAATTTGCTTATATTACTGTTTTATTTGATGCTATATGTTTAGTGTAAGTTAGTATGGAGAAATACTCAACACTAAAGTAAAACAGTTATACAAGTAAGGTATTCGGCTACCAACTGACACAATGTAGTGAAGGATTAGGTTTGTGAGTCGGCAAAAAAAGCAGCATTACAGAATAACTTCTGACAAGAGGACATTAAATGACATGCAATGTAGATAGATAGAGAGAAAAAATCAACACGGGACCTCACGAAAATGCATCGGCTCACGTTGCCACGATTCACAGTAGCATACAAATAACAGGAGGATAGAAAAAGAGTGATATCAAAGTAGACAAAGTTGTGTGAGAGAATAAACAGTGTGAAGACAAAGGTTAGTTCGAATATGCAAGCGCTGGAAGGTGTCGAAGTGCAAATACAACTGCACTACTGTCACCGATTTCCAGCCATGTCACCAACGATGTTTAACCACTGAGTCCTATCCTCTCGAGGACCCCAGCCAAGTAGTCTACACCTCCCTACACGGCTCAGATTAGCACTTAGGGACTACATCGACTGGTGCCATATTTTGGTCTGGCCACCCTGAACCTTCTTCCAAATTCTCCTAGCATGGCACAGAAAGGTAGGCGGTGGTTTAGCATGCGCAGTACAAGGCGAAGCCATCTCAGCCCATTGAGGTCCAGAACCTAATCAATCAACTTGCCAGTCTGACCTAGTACCCTTCGCCTGACCTCAGCACAGCTGATACGCTGATTGCGCTAAATGCTAGCAATGCTAGGATGGCATTTGTGATCGAAACCCTGTAATCGCTACATGTCTTTTACTTTTAAAGGTCGTATCTCACAGCCGTTCAAAGAGAGAGAGAGTAGACTGCAACGCAGTATACTTGTCTTTTGACAGACAATCAGATGTCTTGTCTGCGCCATGGATGATGCAAGCTGGCTAATACCAAACGGGAATTCTGTATCCGAATTGAAATGTTGTCAGTAACCATCCCATTCGAGCTGAAGCAGCTCCCTAATTAAGTGAAGTGGTCGACACATTCCACTACTACACTCCCTATCATTAAACTGAGGGTGATTGCACGTGCAATGCAGTGTCATAATATTTTGTTTCAGGGTTATATTCATAGATGGCTGATAGGTTTCGTTTGGTTGCAAGAACTAAACTGCATTAGTTGCCATTTGAAAACCATTCAGTATGTACTAAAATAAATCATATTAAAAAGTTTCCGATTCCTACCGCTTATTTCTTCATCAAATTCCATTCTTATTGAACAAAATAACTTATTGCCTAAATGTAGCCAGAAAATGTGAGACTGTCGCACATAATTATGCTGACTGGAAAGGAGGCATGAAGGAAAGGAATTTGTAAGATAATGGAAATCAATAGGATACCATCCTGTAATCATAGTGAAACGTACATGTACGAACACACATGATCAATGGAAAGAGGAATGAAAACTATCAAAATGCCAGTGAAACACCTAAGATGACAGGAAATTAATTCATGTAAGGATGTTTTCGAGTGTACCTTTATATATATATTTATATATATATATATATATATATATATATATATATATATATATATATATATATATATATAAAGGTACACTCAAAAACATCCTTACATGAATTAATTAGAACTGAAACAATGTGAAAGTTTTTTCCTATCTCACCTGTCGAATTTGGTTTAATGGATTTTTATACAAACTTTTCAACAGGTTATCACTAACGCCAACCCAATGAATAAATCCAATTTAGGTACAAACCCTACACGAATAAGTTTACTTATATTATGCACATAAGGATTTTTCGTGAATTTAAATCCGAACAGACATATTTTGTGCAGATTCATTGCAAATTTACGAAGGGTTAACAGTGATTGCTTTTTAAAACCCACATCCGTAGATCAACCAATGAAATAGAAGATATTCGACAAACGTTGCTTCCTTTTCCGACGCTTTTATCAATGCATGTCCATATTACGTGGAGGTCAAGTCACGGACTTTTATGTCAGTACGAAGAATACTACATTTAACTGAATCAACATCAAATGAAAAGCCACCTGGAAAATGTTTTAGTATTCTAGACATTAGTGTGAAGTACGAATAAATACTCTCGAAAATGCACACAAAATATATACGTCTTTGTGGTTTATACATAAGCAAAGTAATTAATTCCAAATAGCATTTTAATCCTAATAAACTGGCATCAACTGGTATCAGATAATCGACAGTTCCCGCACAAAATGTTGACACGAGTACGAAATCATTCAACTGATAGTTCTATATGTTAGCGACAGCAAGGAAACCTTCATACTGGACACAACTGCAATGTAGCATGAATTATTAGGGACTGTTTATCATTCTAGTGATCATTTTATCCTCCTTAGTTGACTGCGCATGCCATTGTAGTAAATTATTTTTGTATATAAAAGAGCATATACGCAGAGCATACATACACCTACGGACGTGAATCGATTGAAGATATTGGTCCTTCAACTCTGCTCGAAGTTACGAAGGCTATTTAGAAACTAAAACGATGCGAAGCAGCAAAAACTGATGGTCTACCACCCAACGCTTGCAAGGATGGAGATCGGAAATAACTAACCATAGTAACCAAAGTAAGGAGGGAGTCAGACTACCTGAGACTGCAGGAATCAGTGACTGAAGATTCTTAGTGAAACGGTTGGAGGTGAGTAACAATGGCGCAGATATATTCACTCCTCGTCTTCAAATTTTTCTTCCCCCAACCAACTTTGTTTTTCTTGATACCACTTTTCCCCTTCGATTTGTTCTTTTCATGGTACTGTGAAATGAGGCAACTTGAACCAATGCATTTCTGTGAGACGCCAACGTTGATTTTGTCTGTCTGTCATATACATTAGTAACTGTTCTAATTCAAACGACGGAAAAGACCAGTAAGACAAATATGTTGATGCTGATTTTGTATTGGATCGGTAGCAGCGGAATATGGCTTACTGATGCGGCGTTTGCATGAATTACGTTGTGGCTGGAGTTCACTTCTGATAATCTACAACTATGAACTGACTTCCGATTAAAACATTTACTAGGAGTGATTGAACAGTGGTGCATGTTAGTGATAACATTCTTAACATCTGGGTCACTCATGTGATTTGCTGAGTCAGTTATAGTTTTGTATGCATTATATACCAAAATAAAATTCAAAGCCTTGGTTTCCCAAAAAAGGGTGGGCTGATGATTCATATGTGAGAAAATATTTCGTACTAGACAATATCTGTTTGCTATGATTAGGTAACAATAATCCTTACATTCACTAGAAATCGGTGCAGTATACTAATAATTTATGAAGTTAGCTTACATTTTTGCTGGCTATTGTCAAAATAGTATGTCTGTTACCCTTTCAAGTTCTGCTCCATCTTCGTTCCCCGCTTCAAACAGGAACGTTACCACTAATCTTTTAAGGATGAAACTGCCCTATGTAGCCCAGTAGTGAATAATGCAGACTCGGATCACAAATTGAACAAGATTTTATTGTGATTGCAGATATTACCTGAAAATAGATACTGTAACGCGAAATATCACTCCTTGTTCGATGCTTTCAAACAGCATAGATCAGATTAAATAACCCTTGCTACCGTTGAAGATATAATTTTCTACCTGACTGATAGTCTTCAATCGCTACAAAATGAATTATTCTTGCAGATACGCACGAATTTAAAACAACTGTTAAATTAAGCGTTGTTCAAAAGTGTAAATAAAGAATAAACTAATTTCAAAACACTCGTCAGAAAGGGAAAACTAACAGATAAGCCTACCAGGGCATTCTCTCACTATCCCCTCTTATAAACCAAACAGAAGAACAATTTTAATCAGTCAGTTATTTTTCGTCTGTCTTCTGCTTCGTGCGAAGAATTCAATTCAATTTTCATCTTTTACATAACAAATATTGTGATTTGTTACTGTTTCGGGATATGATGATTAACAATATGGCTGGCACATTGATAGCATTACAAAAGAAAAAGTGATAAATCTACAACCAACTGGATTGCTGGCAGCTGTCTTCTGAAGACGTGGTGCTTATAATAATCATTACTGTTTATTAAACATGAATCGAAAATGTCGAGATTTAAAAAAACCCTCTTCAACCTCAGCATAAAATGTGTTTTTATCAGGCATCAAACAGAAATGAGTAGTAACTTCAAACGATTGTACTTAAAACGTGCTCACATTTTATGGTCTCATAAGATAAGCGAAAACAGAGAGATGTACAGCTACCCTACAGAAATTATCATAAAAAAACAAGAGTGACTATAAAATGTGTAGCATATTTGACGATACTAACCGTCACAGATGTTGTTGAGTGATGTGTTTCGTGATCACCGTCTGTGTCAATTTATGGATGTTGAAATATTTGATGATATTATCCGATGGTGACTTCTATTAAATGAAGTCACAAATATCATGTATTTTTTGTTTGCCTCCTAGATTCCGTTTTAATTTTGTCGATGTTTCACCAAATAGATCAGTTCCTTTCCCAGTGTTTTCAACGGATTTCTTAGTTTCAATATGTGAATTAATGCAAGATTATTTGTTTTCTGATAGTACTAAGTGATCTATTTTGTTCCATTAGCCTGTCGAAAAGCTGTTTCAGTACTTACACTCTCTATTGCATCCAGGTGTGCGAGCCACGGTTCAACTGATTAGTCAACGTTTTGTGCGGCCTAACATGAATGCGGATATCAGAAGGTGGGCATGTGAATGCCTGCATTGTCAACGTTTTAAAGTGCACCGACATACGATTACTGCACCTCAATAATTCCAACTCTCTGACCGACTTTTCCAGCATGTTCATATGGATCTTGTGGGACCTCTTCCAGCATCCAGAGGATTCACCCACATGCTAACGGCTGTCGACCGTTTCATCAGATGGACTATCGCTCGCCCTGTAAGTAATATTTCAGCTGACAACATCGCCTCTGTTTTTCTTGACCGTTGGGTTTCAAACTTTGGTGTGCCTTCTACACTCACTTCTGACAGAGGATCACAATTCTAGGCGACCTTATTTCAAGAGTTCATTCGACTCCTCAGAGTACATCACATACGAACCACAGCTTACCGTCCAACAGCGAATGGTCTGGTGGAGAGATTTCACCGTCAACTAAACAGCTCGCTGATGGCACTGCACAACAGTACTAAATGGAGTGAATTTCTTCCAATCATCCTACTTGGAATCCGATCCACTGTGAAAGAAGACTTAGGATGTACCCCAGCTCAGCTAGTATACGGAACGAACTTGGTCTTGCCAGGACAGCTGGCAAATTCACAAACTTCATCGGAAACCAAGACCTCTACGTTTGCTGAACAACTCGCTCAACGTATTTCGCTTATACAGCCCACATCACCTGGCACTATCAACCGCCGAGAACAACTGGATAAGCAGCCGATGTCCTGCAAGTTTGTGTTTGTCCGGGTCGACAGGGTTAGAAAAGGTCTGCAGCCTCCATATGAAGGACCTTTTCCAGTGATTAGTCGAGCGGAGAAATACTTTACCGTAGACAAACATGGCAAACGTTATGTAAATTTCATTGACTGATATAAAAACCAATTCCAATTCAAAATATTTTATTATTTTACGTCAAATTTATTCACAAATATACATGCCGACCATTACTATTATTTTTATATGCAACACATATTCCTCGCATTTCTCACCCCTTTTATACCAATATCACATTTCACTGTCGTTTATAAATCACTCAAGAAATATGTACATTTTCGAATAATTATAAGTATTACTTATAAATATTCGTACTAATTTTGTTTCCCCACTAATAAACTTTTGAACAGCCCCAGGTATATGTAATTTTGATCTGCCTATGTATATTTTTTCTGGTTTGGCCCTGAGTGCATATCTCTGTTTCTTTCAACCACACAGTTCCTCCGGATTTTTAAGGGGGTGGGGATTGTGTAGAGACTGCATAACATTGTGTATAAACCACTCCAACTAAAACAATACTTCCTTTCCACCGTTTTTCATACACTCTGTACATTCTTCCTAATACTTGGAAAAACGAATGTTGTTTATATACACACTTTTTGGTTGTGGCGGTAATTATAGCTTTTGCTGCTGCTAATCGTGGACATATAATGTGCTTCTAACCATTCTGTTTCCGCGAACATTGCCTGTCGTGTATACTAACTGATTGTCTTGGGATTCTTACAGGACCTCTCATCCTACTTCCAAATATTTTGGCAATCAAGCCAACTAACGGCCACTGCGGAGAGCCAACAAATATCGCCTTCTGATCTCTGGAGTATCCAAAATTGTGGTGGACAATACCGAAGAGATAACCTCCAAGTAATCAGTGATTATCTATAACATTGACAATACTATTTGTGCTATAACGTATAACTTTCCATACATCTGTATCATAAAATCCATTTTTCTTGTAAATTATACGTAGTTTGTCATTTCGGTTTGCTTGGCATTCATTTGGTCCACTACAGGTTGTATGTAGCACTGCTCACGTTTGGTAGAATCACCGTATGAGAAATGTTGAGGTCAGGCAACGGTACTAGATAATACAAGCAAGCCATGTGATGAGTTTATGAACCTCAGTCGGCTGAAATGGGTTGGACAAGTACTACGAATGCCGAGTCATGCGTACGCCGATGTGTTATGCCGGGGAAATTCGGATTGGGTTGGAAGAGAGTTCAGGATCGACAGACAAAAACATGACACCAGTCGAAGTCTCTTGCTGTTGGTCTGAGCCGAGTTGGGAGGTGTAGACTGCTTGGTTGGCTGGCGACCTCAGAGTGACAGGCATCAGTGGTTGAGGACTGACTCCTAGTGAAATGACTGGAAATCGCTCACGATAGTCCAAATGTATTCAATCCTTGACTTCTTATGAAGCTTGAATATCCGAACCAACCTCTATCTTCAAATTGTTTATTCACCCACTCAACTGCCTACTTTGATATCACTCCTTATCTATCCACTATACTTTGTGTACTACGGTCAAGTATGACAACTTGAGCTGATGCACGTGTGTGCGGGGTTCTATGTTGATTTTATTAGTGTGTCAGTCATCCGATATTCTAGTGTTTTCCGTTCACCATCGTCTATCGAATTTAGAATATAACTATGTCACCTAGATAATAAACCTGGTATTGCATTTCACTACTTTGTTGCAAGTAGATAGAAAACCAATGAATTTAGTGTCAGCGTTCAACACCATGACCACTTAATGATCACTCTCTGAAACTGCCATCTGCTTTGCTTTTATGAAAGTCGACAACTGATCGATAAATTATTTCTGCAGTTAGGTATATTTAACTTGAAAATTTTAATATTATTCTATTTCTTTGTTTGAAAGACTAATTTTATCTGAAATGAAGATGCATATTACTGTTCTTGCAGAGGTAGTCTTGAATACATTGCTCACACGAATAAAAGCTTCAAAACTTCAAGATGACTGAAATGCTTGTGTGATGACGTTGTTACCTAACGACGTTTCAACTACGTGATCGAATTCGAAGCTACGACTAAAGGTAATAACATTTATGTGCTTTGTGGGTTCCCAACAAGCACTTTCTGACTACCACACACATGAAAATACCAACTATCAAATCACAGATTCAGTCCAATTGGATCGATTTGGCCTGTTATTGCAGTGGAGTGAAACTTGGACTCTATGCGCATATTCCGCACACAAACCTGCACTCAAATTAGCACGTGTTTGTTGAATTGAATTTTCTCTTAGTAGAATTCATAAACACATACCTACAGTTGACAGCGATTAGGTTATTGAATCTCTTTGTCAGTATTTTTGTTGAGAAAATCGCCATTGCGACGTTATTCAATATAGTCTGTTTGAGCATTCGATCATTACAGTCGCAATTCACTACAAAATAGACGTCACTTTATCGTTAAAATTAACTAATACCCTATTATATACCAGTTCGTTTGGCTTACAATCCAAAGGAAGTAAATTCGATTTACAATGGGTTTCAGTCTCACTCTTTCAAAAATCTTATTGTAACATGATGACTGTACATTTTCATTTTGTTGATTTTTCTAGGAACTGCTTACTAGTGAATGGTTAGTCAATGCATCTTTAGGTTTCTATTTAATTTAACGCTTTGCAAGTTGATATCATGTTCTCTGTTTCTTGTTAGTAATCCAGCAAACCCACTTCTGTGATGAAAACTATCTTGAAATCGGTAAGTTCATCAAAAACCATCTGACTGTATAAAGTATAGCTTGCTGTATTTCTTCACTCGTACTTGCTTTTTACTGACACAAAGAGGGTTAGAATGGTAGAAAATAAGACTAGAAGAGAACAATAAAATATTGAAAAGAAAATTATAAACATGCATATATGCACTTACCGCTATGCGTTTAGCAATGGACAAGTGAAGATGATCAATCTGATTGAGTAAATCTAAAATACCCTAAGAGAAATAAATTTACAGGAGGAGGATATGATAAAAACAAATATTAACTTGTGTTTATTTAAGGTAATTACAAAAACAAAGGTATCTGAGCAAATAACGGCTTTTAATAACTCCATACTTAAGTTCTGAGGTGATTAATCCGTAAAAACATATTTTATTCAGTAGCCTACCCAAAAATATGGAACTGCTGACTTAGACCGTTTAACACCCAAATATAGTGTGTCGCAGTGTTACATCACTTTTCTCACTGGCCGCATAGCAAAACTTGGTCGATAGACTTCGATAAGTGCTAAGCACTAAGGACTAGAAAGCTACATAGGTTGCCTACTAGCAACCAACTTGTGCACATAATTCAGTCCTACAAGGGGTCATTCGCAGCATGAATAGGTAGGTGGTATCGTCTGGGACTTCATCACTGAGTAATACATGTTCGGATCACCAGGTAAACACCAATTTCATGTTCTTTGTTGATGAGCCTTGTTGATAAATGCTGGAAAGCACGAAACCTAAGTCAAGGACTTCCTGGTGATTGACTATCACCAGACTACGTATAATCATCTAATTCAAGCAATTTTTGAATAAAACGAGAACACCATGCAGCATTAAAAAGAATTTATTGATAGACCCAACCATCCAACCGTTGAGAAGAAACCTTTTTTCCTTCCTCTAGCATTCAAAGGAGATGAGACATCTGAAAGAATAGACTGAAGAATAAGAGCTGCACTGAAGAGCTGCCAGACTGATATCAATTTACAATACAGTAGGCTTAAGAAAATAGTCAAAAGTAGACAAATACTCAGCTCGCGTGACCACTGACTTTGTATATCAATTCACCTGTGCTTGGGAAAGCAAGTACATAGGATGGACCAAAACACGGGTGTCTACTCGATTTTATGAGCATATTGTGCGGAATTTATGTCGGAAAGATAGCAAGGTCTTTACTAACGCTATCGCAAAGGATCTGATGGGAACAGGATATCAAATAGATTTTCCCAATCCTTCAGGATAATCAAAAAGCAAAGAACACCATGTTAATTACGGTTTGGGGAAGCTCTCACAATCAAACATTTTCAACCTGACCTATGTACTTAGAAAAAGACTGTAATTACTCTGGTAACTGTATATACACTTTTTGGTTGCATCACTTCTGAATTATTTACCAACTGTTAATCACTCGGTACGATGGTTTTCCGGTTTTTTTCATAAAATTGCGTAACCTCCTAGCTCTTTAACAACCGCCTTCTCTAACACTCCCGTCTGCTTGTTGCCCAACTTTTCCACAGCTCCAGAATTTTCTTTCTCATCAGATATAAACTACTATTGATTTTCACTGAGGTTTGCGATTATTAATCCTGTTTCCTCGACTCACTACCTTATCGTTAAACCCGGACTTCAGATATTCATTTATTTCTACACATTTAAAGTATGTTACATCATTATTACCATTAATACTTCCTTTCGATTATAGGCTGTTTGCAACTGGTGAAAGGCTATGGAATAAAATTGGCTCATTTTGTTCTCCAAATCTCCTTGTTCGTGCTTTATTCAAATCTGTCAAGACGACTAAATGCATGATAATCCATAAAATATTTACAAAATGCATTTTTTCAAGATTCGCAAGGTAGGAAGGAAACATCTGAACACTAACTATGATCTGTTTATCGGTCATCAAATTCTATACACACATCACCCGATGTTATGTGTAATCAAACTCAAAATATTTTATTTACTAGCACGTCACTTACCTACCAACAAGCAAACGTTTTTATCTAACTTCATTATACTTTCTTTGCGATTCTTCACTTGAACACCAATCAGTCATGATGATCTTGATCAACCTTATTGATAGTTATGCTGTAGTGAAACAGTATTGATATGCTATATTTCCAACAGTGATATGTAGCAACTACAACTTAATTTTCATATAAACCTGACTGACTGACACCAATGCATAAGGAAGAATTTTTGCGTTAATTAATATTTCTACCCCATGAAACAGCCTTTATTACCAACGTTTTGTGCATATTTTTTTAAAAACAATCATAGACATCATACATCAAGAGGTGAAATTCGCACACGCATACTGCAGAGTGGACAATTTTTGCTTAAGGCTTTCGAAGCAGTTTATTAAACGACAACTGGACTTCAGATATATTTACATGCGCGCACATGCACCTGAAAACAAAATTATATTTCTGTATGCTGTGTTGGCACGTGACTATATTCTACCGATAAATAAGTACATTATAGGCGAAAATGCGAAGCAAACGTTGGAGTGAAATAGATAAGAGAATCAACAAAATCGTCAATCAAAGGGTTTGTATGCATTTACCAACTAACTTTGAACTGTTTTTAAACTTTGGTGAAGTTATATTTTTCAATAAGACAACTGGTATTCAACTTCACGAATGAGAAGTAAATCATACCACTTTCAAAACCTGAAATGTGATTCGATATACGCATATTCAAGCAGAATATAAAGGTGCAGAGACATGAATGCAACAAAAGATCTACACATATCCATGACAAAAACACGGCTTAGTAGATAAATACAACTTAGCTTAGATCTGTCATCATTTCGTTTACAGTATTCTTGACAAGTCAGTTTCAGAATAAACAGCATGTTAACTGACAGTCCTATCCATATAAGAAACCTTTGACTTACAGAAAAATAACAACATTAATGTTGCCTAACGTGTTAGCTACTATTTTCAATTGCCTTGAGGAATTATTTCTGCAAATAAAGTATCCATTGAAGTAATGTGACTAAAATTGACAAAGTAACAGATGCAATAGAAACATGATAAACTTCCGATGGCAAGTAACCTAATTCGACAAACAGACACTCTTGGAAGTGGAGCGGAAGACTTGTGCTGCAAAAGACCAGAGAAACTTGATGAAAGGATTAGTTGATAGTGCAAAAACTCACAAATCAAGTAGGAGTAAATATGTCAACATGTTTTTGTTCTACTCTGTTACATAGTGAAAAGGATTGTTTAAACCTACTAACAAGTATCAGGTTGAGTGGATATTCAACAATCAAAAGCATGATCAATCACAAAACAGCACAGAGATCAACAAAAGTCAAAATAAGAATATAGTTTTGTAAAAGATTGAATTGTTATGGGTTTTCCCTTTGACCTGTTATACAGGCAGATTGTTTTATTTCAGGTCTGCAGAACAGCAGTATAAAGCCTATAATTGACACATTTCTGATGTACAGAAGATAAGTTGATGATATCTTTATAATTCGCCATGATGACTGTGATTTAGGAGTTGTAAACACCAATTACATTCACACGTAAAGTTGAAAGACAATCAAAGATTAGGTTTTTGAATGTAGAACGATCCGACGAGACGATGGGACAGTAAGGAGGTTCATCTACAGGAAACCTGTCTGAAATGGTCAGCTGACAAATTTATACGGCTGAGTGCCTATGCGCTGAAAAATAACTCTTGTCGTGTCTGCTGCCTATTATGTTCGACAAATCCGCAGCACTGATTGCTTAGAAGAACTCGTTTTATCTGAAAAATGTCCTGGTTGGAAACGGATAACCATCACGATTTGTGAACAAAAATATCAGGTTTAAACCACAAAGAAAGATACGCACTTCAGCTCTATGGAAGATATCATACTAAATTCTTTATTCATGACAACTGGTAGTATGCTATGTGAAGAAATTAATGATAAATATTCAGTATAGCAGATAGTTCTTGAGAATAGGCAGGTTCTACAGCCAATTGCAAAGAAAACAGCCAAAAGATGAAATCTTACTGGGAATAGAGTGACACTACATTATTTTTGAAAAGAAAGTACCATGGTGTATTGCAACGTTGCGGATTAGGATTCATGCAACTCATCTTCACGTTCAAATATTTTGGAAAATTATTCGATTCAGAAGTTTGTGGAGAATCAATTGATTTACAAGCGTCTTAATCACAGACTGACACCACACAGAGAACCACTGAAGACCTAGAAGCCCTAAACATCTGTTACATCCCATTTTGAAGCTCCTCAACAGTGCTAGCACATGACAATCTGAGGGATCAAACCCAAGACTTTCAAGCTCTACAACACGCACATTACTGCTCGGCTAGAGGATTAGAATCCAATGGAATGGGTTGTCATATTTATTTTTTTTACTTTACTTCGTATTACATTACGCTGTTTCTAAACACTTCTACTCAAAGTTTTAGGCCACGTACTGTAATGAAAATAAGATATAACACCAATATGGAAATCTTTATATATATATATATATATATATATATATATATATATATATATATATATGTTATATCCAGTGTAATTCTAGAATATTTTATTCTACTAATGTAATATTGTGCATTCCACTTTTGTACAGGAAAAAAGAATGGTAGAGATTTATGCGCTAAAAATAAATTTTTCATCTTAGTGAAAATGTAAACTGTTTCACATGTTTACATTTGTATGAACCAATCACTAGATAGTATATTCGTTTATAGAAAATTATGCAATGTGACCGAAACAGTTACTAAGACAATTTTCGGGCAATTTTTTTAATGATGCACTTCCTATTACAATAAGTATAAATCTGGAATTAAGTCACAGGGATTTAATATAAAGTATTCAGGAGAGATATGGTATTTCGGGTTTTCAGTTGAGGGTGTTTTCTACCGTGATAACTTGACAGTAATTACATAATTATAGCACCTCGAAGGGATACATTTTGACTGGTTATTTCCCATTTAAGTCAATTATATCATTTCAAATTTATTTGGCTGCGTGATCACATAAATAAAGCCGCTTCATGAGATTGTAAAACGTCATCGGTTAAAGTGGCTTGATCATGTGTTATTAATGCCTAGTCACTGAATACGCTGTTAAAAATGCTTCGGGGCAAAAATGCACAAAGGCGGTGAGACTAAAACGAGATATCTGTCCCTGAAGCCTTTGACTGCTTATTCGAGCTTCGCATCAGTAAATGTAGTCTACAGAGTTGAGGTCTATGTGATTA